GGTCGCGTAGCGGGNNAGACAACATGCGCGGTAGGTTGGCAGAGTCGCGCGATTTGAGCGGCTGTGAAGAAGACGACTCGGACGTAGTCTTGTTGTGGTGACTGAGGGTAGAGTCTGGCTGTGTCTTTTTGTTGGCGTAAGCAGCCAGGCTGATCTTCTTCTTGGGCAGCATGCTGGGAGTGCTCTGGGTGCTGCTCTCCTTTTCGCGCGGTTGTGAAGAGACGGAGGCATTGTCCTTTTGGTAGTGAGAGTTGCGATGCAGCTGAAAGACGTCCGAGAGGGGCTCGTGGTAGTAGAAGGTCTGGTATTGTTGGTTGGGGTCGTCGTCGGAGCGGAAAGGGGTGCCAGTGCGCCACATCTGGCTCGAGTGATGGGAGTGGTGGTGGTATTTGGGCTCGTCCTGAGGGATGCTGAGGACGTAGGGCTCGTCTGGCGTGACGGCGCGCATGCGGTCGATTGCGGCATCGATGCGCCGGAGCAGGTCGCGCTCCCGGTCGGGGAGAGATGCAGCCATGATGCCAGTCTAGCTGTGGTGTGCTCCTGTCAGACCATCTTCCGTCGGTCGCATTGAGAGATGTAGAAGTCGGATGGGATGGCGCATCGGGAGGGACGATAGGTGATAGGGACGACAATCGGCACTACTCAAGCGGCGCGTCGGGCCTCCCGTCTCCACAAACGTCGACGAAGCAACTCTTTCGCTCGTTCTTTCAGCCTCGCACTTCCAGTACTGTGTGTCCATCTCTCTTTGTCTCGTCCTGCACCTAACCGCCAGCACGAGTAACCCACAGCGTTCCCCGCCCTTCTCTGCATGCCTTTAGTCCTTCGATACAGCCTTCTGTGCTTCCCATGTCCCGGATCATGCGCTTCGCCTTGAGCCTGTTCCAGCTTCATGACCTTGTCTTTTTGTTTGCGCCAAGTCGCACTCATTGTGCCCATTTTTTATTCCAGATGTAAAGACGTGTGTATCTCCGTGCAAAAAGTGAGTGACAGTGCCGGCTCTCACTACAACATAAAGACACGTTTGGGCTGTAGAAAGACACAGTATTCTCCACCATCAAAGGTATGGCCACAGAAAGCTGATGAAATTTTGTGTCTCAGTGGGTGCTGCCCTGCTCTTAGATGATGTTTCCAATAACGATAGTTGGTCCAAGGTGACAGGTGCGGGCAGAAGTCGAGGGGCAGGCTGGATCAGGCAGTTGCGGAGTTGACCGCTTTTGAATTTGGGTGTCTGCAACATGAGCGCAGCGAAAACACTCAAGACATTGAAATCAACAAACCCCGCCACCACTACCCACCTCTCCTGCTCGATTTACGTCGCAGACTGTTTGTTTCACTACACTACAGCTGTCCGTTACCGCAAAACTCTTCCTCTTACTGGTGGCGAGCATGGATGCTCAGGCAAGTGCCAGCCCACGTGCCTGCCCGAATTTGACTGACTCCCAGCAGGTCGAGAGCGCCATCCAGATTGCCTTTGACCCCCGGGCCGACCAGAACCTCAAAGCCCAGGCCTATGACTTTCTGCAGCAACTGCGCGACGATGCTTCCGGCTGGCAAGTCTGCTTAGCCCTCTTCACCCGCGACNCCCCTCCGGACGAAGTCGTGCGCCATGTCTGCCTGGAGCTGGTCAGCCATGCGGTGCAGACAGGCCGCCTGGACGAGCGGAGTCTGTCGTACATCAAAGACCAGCTCATGACTTACATCCACCAAACCTTTGCGACCCAAGCGAACCGCATCGACTCGCCCAGCATCCAGAACAAACTCACACAAACCATCACCTACCTCTTCACCTCGCTCTACGCCACTGCCTGGACCACCTTCTTCGACGACTTCAGATCGCTGGCCGGCGATGCAAACACAATTGGCTCCGACAACCCTCAAGGAACCATTCTATACCTCCGCATCATCAACTCGATCCACGACGAGATTGCCGACGTCCTGATCCCTCGCACTCCCGAAGAGCTCAAGCGCAATGCCGACCTCAAAGACTATGTGCGCTCGCGCGACGCTCAGAACATTTCAGCTTTCTGGCAGCAGGTGCTTTCGAGGTGGAGGCAGATCGATCTTGGTATTGTCGAGTTGTGCCTTCGCTGCGTCGCACGCTGGGTCAGCTGGATAGACATCTCGCTCGTCGTCAACGAGACCATGCTGAACTTCTTGCTCGAGATTGCTGGACAGCCAGACATTTCTTCGGCCGAGAGCCCTCAAGCAAAGATTCGTGATGCCGCCATCGACACCTTTACCGAGATTGTGGCCAAGAAGATGCCTAGCCAGGACAAGATTCAGCTCATCTCGTATCTCAACCTCGCCAACGTCGCCGGCCAGCTTGTCGCTAGCTCTGCTCTTAACCAGTCCAGAGGTACCTCCAACTACGACAACGACCTCGGCGAAACCGTGGCCAAGCTTGTCAACAATGTCGTTTTCGACGTCGTCAAAGTCCTCGACGCGGAAGGTCTCGATGCAAACACGGCTGCCCAGGCCGACGAGTTGCTCCAGCTCTTCGTTCCATACCTCTTGCGTTTCTTCTCGGACGAATACGACGAAATCTGCTCCGCCGTCATTCCCTCGCTCACCGATCTGCTTACGCTCTTCCGTGTCTCGTCCAAGCGTGGAGCCCTCCCCGATCAGTACCGCGCCATGCTGCAACCCATCCTCGACACGATTATTCTCAAAATGAAGTATGATGAGACGGCGGATTGGGGTGCTGAGAGTGATCAGACAGATGAGGCCGAGTTTCAAGAGTTGCGCAGGAGGTTACACGTCCTTCAACAAGCTGTGGCTGCCGTCGATGAGAACATGTACATGGAAACTCTGAGCAGAGTCGTTGCTACGACATTCAACAGAATCTCGTCAGACAACAAGCCCAACTGGAGGGACTTGGATTTGGCTTTGTACGAAATGTACCTTTTCGGCGAACTGGCCGTCAAGAATGGCGGTCTCTATCAGAAGAGCTCGCCGTCAAGCACTGCATCCCAACATCTTATTGAAATGATGGCCAAGCTAGTCGAGTCTGACATCGCTTCGTACCCTCACCCTGCTGTTCAACTCCAGTACATGGAGATCTGCGTGAGATACTGCACCTTCTTCGAGCACTCTACCGAAAGCATTCCCCGTGTTCTTGAGAACTTTGTTCGCTTCGTCCACAGCGACCACATCAAGGTCAAGACTCGCTCATGGTATCTCTTCTTCCGTTTCGTCAAGCAACTTCGCAGTCAACTCGGCAACGTTGCTCAAACCGTCATCGAGACTGTCGCCGATCTCCTCACCATCCAGGCCGAAGTACCAAAGGAGAACGACGACGATGACATGTCATCTGAAGAGAACGACCAGTCGGCGGACGCCATCTTCACCAGCCAACTCTACCTCTTTGAAGCCGTTGGAGCGATTGCCTCTACGACCTCGGTCCCACTGGAAACCCGTATGCTCTATGCCCGCACTCTTGTCAGCCCATTGATTGCAGATCTGGAACGTCACATTCCCGTAGCCAAGAATGGTGATGAGCGGGCAATTATGCAGGTCCACCACATCATCAAGGCAGTGGGTACCCTGGCGAAAGGTTTCTGTGACTGGATGCCTGGCAACACCTCTGGCGCACCTCCTCCTTCCGAGCTGGCCAATGAGTTCTCACCAGCCGGTGAAGCTGTTTTGACCGCGCTCGAAAGTCTCAAGAACTCTATGCTCATCCGTACTGGTGCACGCTTTGCTTTCTCACGCATGCTGGGTGTACTGGGCTCTGTTATCCTGCAGAAGCTGCCCAGATGGATTGACGGTTTGCTCTCGCAGTCTTCCACTAAGGATGAGATGGCTACGTTCCTGAGACTTCTAGATCAAGTGGTCTTTGGCTTCAAGACTGAGATTATTGAGATTCTTGACCAATTGCTCACCCCTCTTCTGCAAAGAGTTCTTGCAGGTCTCTCAGAGCCTACTACTGGGACTGATGACGCCATTCAGCTTGGTGAACTGAAGATGCAGTACCTGCAATTCATCCTCGTGATTTTGAACAACGACTTGGCGCCCGTCCTTGTCAGCAGTGCCAACCAGCAGACTTTCGAGACCATTCTCACAACACTGGAACACTTCTGCCGCGACCCCTCTGACTATCCTACCGCTCGTCTATCTCTTGCCGTCTTGACTAAGATGACACAGGTGTGGGGTGGCCCAGACCTTACCATTCCCATTCCCGCAGGCGCTGCTCAAGCCGCTGCACCAACGGTCCCAGGCTTTGACACCTTCATCATGTCACGCTTCTCTCCTCTCACCTGGGCTCTTATCTCACAACCATCTTTCCAACCAAAGGACGCTCAAGCACGCAGCTATCTCACAGAAGCCGCCACCTTGCAATGGACTATTCTCCGCAAGTGTGGAGCAGCTTACGAGACCCACCTGCGCGAATCCGAGATGTCCGGACTAGGCCTCCAAGGCCCCATCATTGACGAGTATATCACGCATCTCGAAGCCAAAGACAAGCTTGACTTCAAAAAGTTTTTCATTCAATTCGTGCAGCAAGTTAGGTCATGAGAAGGAAAAGGAACATAACTGAGCGTTTTTGCAAGTCATTCGATGGATTGCATGGAGGAGTAGAGCTTCCTTTTTTGTCTGTTTTTCCCATACGCTTGCTCCTCTCCCACGATTGAAGATACCCTCCTGACTAAAAGAAAGAATCAAAAGACTTTGCCAAATCTCATCTCGTTTTCTGTGTAATCGACCGGGTTGAGTGAATGTGTTTGTATTGCCCCTGTTTTGCTTCTTCTGTATTTCGTCAGCGAATACCTCGACTGTCTTATCATTGTGACTTACCACAAGCACCAGAAGCATCCTTATCATCGTCATGTGGAAGGAATATAAGTTGCCTTGATCCGTGTTTACCCCTTTCTGCTGTCTCGTCAATACTTGTTTCCTACACTCATCTCATTGTGACTTGCAGTAAAACACCACATCATCACCAAGCTAAGACAAAGTCATGTTTACCTCTCAACGGCAACGAAATCTGTAACCCTCACTCATCAACGGAAACCCCATCCCCTGAGCCAACTCCAAGCCCTCTTCCACCAAGCCCTCTTAACCTCTGGCCAATCCTGAGGTGCTGCCATACTTGCCTCCGAGTCTTGCGGGTTGGGTTGCTTGGGTTGACGACGGCTTTGGTATGGATGGAGAGGGGTGGGTTGGCGGGGCTTTGGGCGGCTGGGGTCGCGAGAGGGTGAAGCGCGGTGATGGCCATTAGGTGTCAAGGTGGCGACGGTGGTTGGGGTGGAGGTGTGGGATGTAGGAGAAGAAGCAGAAGGTAAGGGCGTTGAGGGGCGGGTGTTTGTAGTGTTGGTGAGATTGGGGTTGTCTGGTTCAGGGGGGATGGTGCGGATGGTAGACATACTTGCAAAGTACTGCTGGAGAGCAGCAACAGTGTGTGGCTTGAGGTAAGGAGTAAGATGTAGAGGGCGTAGATGCAGACTGAATAAATGTACTGTGACATATTGTGGTTGTTGGATGTATCTTCCGGATGCAAGGAGAAGGACACAGAAACAGTGTTGTTGAGTAGATGCTTCTTTCGTGTTGAGAGTGGAAGCACTCGAACAAAGAAGGCCCAGACATCTTTGACTTTCCATGGAATCTTCTTGACTCTACCATGCCCTCTGATGGCAATCTACTGGCATCTGTTTGTGTGTTACCTCCGTCCTTAGTCGGCATCCACGAAGGTTATGATTTGTGGTTCTAGTATACCGTGATAGAGTCAGTGGCATTTGGGTTGGTGTAGACCCCTTATTTTGTGAGGAGAAACTGAAAACACAATACTCATGAATAGGAGCGGCAGCAGTAAGAAGATATTGCCGGATGACCTAGCGGTGATGTGAGAAAGGAGAAAAAACAACAGATGACAACTTGAGAGTATCGGAGTAGGTGAAAGACAGAAAAGCGCACTAGAGTTGTATGGTTCTTGGTCGTCCCTATGTGTCTGAAGTTTGGTCCCGGAATCAATGATTACTAAGGTAAAATCGCACGCGGAGATGGATGAGATGGAACAAGGGCGCATATGTCCTTTGCTATTCTACACGCCGATATCGTCCTCTGCTCCGCCGTCTAGATAAACGCATAAACAAGTACCCAAACACTGCCAGCGACACGGCAAAAAGACCGATACCGAGTACCAAAGGTATATCCTCGACATCCGTCAGCGAAAANTTTGGGTATTGTGTTTTGATGCTTTTCCCCAGCAGCCCAGTAGAAGCATCATCGGTTTCTGTAGAGTTCTTGACCCCTGGGATTTCCTCGATATCCTTGCAAGCACCGTTTCCAGTGCAAATTCGTCCACCCATCCAATTCTTCGGCACCTCTGAAGCAACAACAAGAGATCTTCCCATGACCTTGTTTTTGAAGTCGACGGCTTCAACGTACACGAATGCAATATGTCCTTTCGTCATATACATAGTCTCGAACCCCGCCTTGTCCACGCTAGCAAGCAGAGAAAAGCTCCCAGAGACATTTCTCTCAGCACCCCAAAGTTTCCAGGCTTTGACATTGGTAGCCCCATTCCAACTGAAATAGTGAAACGTGTTGGAGGAAGCGGCGGAAGAACCATGTACCATGGATTTTAGAAGTGGTGATGTATGTGGTCTTCCCACAAAAGCGGCCTTGTAACTGCGATAAGTACTCATCTTTCCATCCGAGAATCTCGCCGTCATCAGAGGAGTACCAGAAGCAGTAAATTCAGAGATTTGACCAGAAGTAGCCCAATTGATGAATGTATTGGTGTTGGACAGTGTTTGCATATTGCCCCTTGCTATCGAGATCTCACGATCTGGATGATCGTAGCTGTGGATTAGTTTTGTGGTCATTGGGGAGGAAGAAGTATTGATCTCGAGTACAACTCCACGACTCCAGTTTCCTGTTGTTTTCAGGGGATCGCTGATGCCCACGCCTGCATTATCGAAGAATGAGAGGATGGTTGTGGAGGCGTTGGAGGAGAGAAATCGCGCATCGTGTTGCCAGGAGAACTTAAAGTTGTTAGAGTGGTCGATGTCGTGGCTTTTTTCACTCAGTGTCCAGAGGATGGAGCCATCGCTGCCGGATATCTTGTAGATGGAACTTGTGTGCCGGGAAGAGAGGAGGTAGTCCCCTTTGGCGTCTTTGTCGATGGAGTTTGCGTGGNNCTGAGGGTAGGAAGTTAGTTTTGACTAGATTTAGATAGTAGATGCTGCTTACAACCAGTCCCAGGCTGACTTTTCTGTTGTCGAGCCTACTTTGGGAAGATCAAAGTTTGATGCGTTCAAGGAAATATGCTCCAGAGAACTCCAGCGAAACAGAGTTGCTCCCGTATCCAGCTCAATCTCAGCAATCCCATCATCCATGATCCATGTTTCGTTGACCAACGTAGGCTTGGAGTAGAGTGCCAGAACAGAAGATCCATTATCGATAATCCTGTATTCGTGTATGTTGAACTCTGGCGTGTTGAATAATGGCAAAGTCATGTTGACGATCTCATAGTGGCTGTTGAGGAGAACAGCCATTCCTTCCGGATGCTCAGGATAGAACTTGTTTGGCGAGATGATAAAAGAAAGCATGGTTTCGCCTTTATATGTTACGGTCCTGAAGTCGTAGGCATCTCGTCCAGGGAACATGGTAGATCCAATCCAGATCAGATGCTGAGGTATTGTCAGTTATATTTGCTTGGTCTACCGAGTATGATGCCTTACTCCAGTATGATCATATATCATCGGACCAGTGATGTACGCCTCAGCAGGATCTGTTATCTGTTTTGCTTCCAATTGGGAATAAGGAGCCACGAACAGATACCCTGGACACAGGTTTTGCGCATCATGCACCGTAACATCTAACAGCGGAGGGCGAAACTGTGGTAGNCTGAACAAAATCAGCAAACAATATTCACCAGCTACCTAACAGCACCAGTGTCTTACAGTTTGAAGCCGAACATGCGAGTCACGGTCAGTAGAAGGAATCACCGTCACCGCAGCGGCAATGGCAGCTATACACAACCAAAAGATGCGCATTGTTACAAATCATGTCACAGACCAAACATGTATACAGTTTCCATGCTTGGTCCTCGAAGGGCGCTACGCACCCATGTTCCTTCCTCGGAGCAGAAAATAGCGTCGAAGGATGGCCGGCAATCCCTTGCCAAGACAAGTAATTACAGAAACGTTTTGTGACATAATTTGAGAGTTTCGTCAATGATGATATATCATGTTGTATGGTTTGGTATGTAGATGATTACGGAAGACAAGATGATTTTGTGTTCATTTTGATGATAGATGGGATGTCGAGACCAGAGGTGAGAACGAGGTGACATGACCGCGAAGTGCTCAGAAAAGCTTGACCGAAACAGGAAGGTGCAAGCGTCATAGAATCCAGCCTCTGACTCCTTCCTTCTGCCAACCTCCTTCTAACGACCTTCTATGCTGAAGAGTCCAAAATTTCTCATCACCAGCAGAAAAGACTCTTGAAGATGAAGAGGAGGTTTATTAGATGATTGACTCCAGAGAGAGTCGCTTTCCTTGGGCGTCTACACAGCTGCTGAACGCCATGTATTGATCATCCGGAGTATAGAAGACAGGCACTGATCCTTGCTGCTTTGCTGGTGCTGATCGGTCGAACGAGAAACGATCGTCCTTCTGGATGCCGTGTATCTTTAGCTAGCAGTGAATCTGTCTCAAGGTCAGCTATGCAACGGCACGTCTCGAACAGGGACAAAACGAACCCAAGATCCTCCAAGCCGACTGGTTCTTCCAACACAGCACGCAGATTCTCCTGAGATTCCCTCGCGCTTTTCATTCTCTCATCGAGTTCCTCTGCCTTCTTTTCCCTCTCCTCCAGCTTCTTCACTAGACCTCCCACATTGCGCTTGAACTTGACACTCTTTGCAATCTCCATGACCAAGACCTTCAATTCTGCATCAATGGTGGCATTCATGCGCTCCTCTGTGGCTTTGGCAGCTTGCAGTTCGCGGCGCTGAGTGTGGCGGACTTCTTCAATGGAGTCAAGCTCTTTGGCGGTCGCGTCGAGGCAAGCGGTTTCGATGAAGCGGAGCATGGAGATGGAGGTGAGTGCTAGCCGGGCAATACCGGGGGTGGTGGTGTCGGCGACATTGTCGAGGGCTGAGAAGACATCTTCGCTCAGTGTGGTAAGCTCTTCGCGGTCAATGCTGAGGGGCATGTCGATGGCTTGACTTGGGTGTCAGAGCAGAGAGAATTGATACTCTCTGGCTGAATGTGCGTTGATCTATGATATACGATTTACATGGCAAGTTTGGAAAAGCTTGTCACGCGGTGTGTCTTGTCGAGCACCATGAATAACCAAAGTGACGCTGGTTCGTTGTTTCAGACTACTTCGAAGAGGCAAAGACCAGATTGTTCAGGTGACTCAGTTGTCTTGAAGAAAAGGACAAATTGCTGCAAAAGAGACTCAATTGCTTGGCCTTGCAGACAAACACCTGGCAGTTTCGGGGGAAGCAGAACAAGTCAACATTGTCATTGAAAGTCAGGAGATGGACACAAGCATGATGTCAACAACTCTCATCTCCCAAAACATATGAAACGGAAGCCTGACTGCTTCGTTGAGATAAGAGGAACAGAGTCTGAGGCGACAGACAATTAGTGCTATCTAGTAGACACGAGAGCTGCGACTCCAGCTCACAGATATAGCTTGTATCATCGGAAAACACTATGACTATAGCAATCCATGACCAATGCTTATATGAAAGTCATCAGTACCCGGAAGCAATCTGCACTAATACTTATGTGTAAAAGGACCACTTTTCCTACACCTTGTCAACCGTGACCTGCATATACTGTAAAGCCAAGCCACGCCCGAAAAGGTTGGCAGGAAAGTGACATGTCGCCGGTCGGACAAGCAGAGTTCAAACATCCTCATGGTCGAGCGGTAAACCTTGCAACGGCATGCAGCCCGGGCACGGGGAATGATTCTCCGAGTCTCAGTGTCACCTCTTCCACTGCCCTACCATTCTTCTTTTTGCAACACTATCACTGTCGGCGCTTCTTCGAATGGTGGATACACTTGATGACTCACAATAAGGTGAGTCTGAGTAAGTTTGTCTCCTGGGATGTGCGAGCAATGACAAGCTCGCGAAATGTGACTGCTCGCGATTCCTCTTTCCAGCGGTTTGATGCAGTCTCCCGCGCGACATGCCTGAGGTGTATCAATCTTGTGTTTGGTCTACCGCCTGGGAGCTTGCGACTGCTGTGGAGGTTCCTCTCTGCGAGGAGATGGAGATTCGACGTGAGGGTGATGCCACTGATTACGCAGCTGTACGAGTTCCCGGAATGGCGGTCAACGTGACATGTCTGTCAAGCCGGCTCCATGCAGTCTCCCGTCTGCAACATAGTTATCTCTGCATTATACGAGTTCGTATCTGGAAGATGCCCGATTCTGGCTATTGCTGCATAGCAACCCCCGATTGACTTGGTGGAGACAAACGAGGAGCGGTCAGGGCTGCTGGGGCTAGTGGTGATAGGTGCCGGGAATATCTTGCTAGACTCCCCAATCTCTCCTCGATGTTTGTTCTTCCTTCCTTCCTTCTTCGCTGTCTGTCATCTTTGTTTTTCTTTGCTCATGCTACTGTCTGTCTTCTGCCTTGTAGCTTTCCTGCTTCCTTTTTGTGACTATCCTTCTCTGCTTCTGTTCTTGCGAAGTCTTTTTGTTTGTCTTCCTTTCCAGGGTCCCGTCTCTGGGAGAAAGCTTGTTTCCCTATGTCTGCTTTTTTGGAATTTTTTGATCGACGTTTGAGTGCTCTTTACTCTGTTTACCTTCTATGTTTCTCTGTTATATCTTCTCTTTTGTTTTTCGCTTCTCCCAACTCTATATGTATGGGTTCTTCGCGTTCGTTCCGAGAACCCATCCTTACCCGAGCTCCATCTGTCAAACTTCAAGGTCTCTATATATGGAGCACAGAGATGTTGGCCGATCTTGGGATGCTTGATCTCCTTGTCTCGATCACTGGCAATGGAGCACTCCACTACATCTCTAAATTCTGATAGCTGAGGCTATTTTGACTTCTGTAAGATTTTCTGATCAGAGATCTCTTGCAAAGAATACGACTAATTTGGTAGCAGATTATATATAAACATGGGCGTCCAGCGCAACCTCCAACTCTTTGCCCTCAACAATGTCGTCTGCCACTACCACTCTTTCAAAGGGCTCGGACGCGAGTTCATCATCACATATCGCGACTTGAAGCACAAGGTCAACTCTTCCCCTTGGCTCATTGGAAAGTCAACTTGCGGATTGTTTGACTTCACTGGATCGTTTGGGCGCCGAGCTGAGCCAGCCGTTGTCCCTGAGATTCGTGAATGAGCATGGCGAGGATGACCCCGATGACTTCTTACTTTGGTCCATCGACATGTCCTGGGACTTGATCGAATTCGTCTTCAAGGATCAACCTCTCCAGCAGCACATGAGTCTTGATTGAGCCTCCCAAGACAGATGTCAATCTTCATTGTGTTGACTGAGCAAGAAGATGACAACTAAAGCAATGTCATACTCGAACTCGATGAGTAGACTCTATATATACATATATATTCAGGAGTTTTCGATGGAACTTCTTGTCATCGGAGACCTGAAATCCGTAGAGCTAACAACTGACCAGATCTCGCACACCCTTCTTGCTGTTCATGATGAACGGAGTGGTCTGGTGATCGCCATGGCGATCGGCAGTCGTCCTCCTCAGCAGTTAGCCGAACCTAAGCCGGACCTCCCAAAGCTTAGTCTACTAGAGGGGATGTCGATTGCTCGTATCTTTGAAATGCTCGAGATCTGGACAGTGCAAGCAGGTACTTGTAGTCGTGTTACCCAATACTTGCAAGAGGAAGCCAGAATTTACAGTACATCATCTTGCCTATTCCGGTCCAAGATGTTGGTGTCGTCGTTTTGGCCCCAGCCAGCGGCCAAAACATTGATCAGCAATTCATCAACTACAATGAATACCGCCGCGATGCCGTAGGAGTGTGATGTGAATTCCTGGTGAGAAACCATTCTGGTCACAAATGAGTGGCTATCAATCACAATGCGCTTAATCAGATGCACAGCAACTTCTGGGGCCTCTCCAGTTTGTCGATCCAGGTACATTCTTTCACTCTCGGTTCATGACTTTGCCCTCTTTTTCCTATGTATGACCGAGTGTCTTGGGCACCTGCTCAGTCGGCCACCTATTCCTTGTTTCTGAACATGCGTGTGAGAAGACCATAGCTTGTCCTATCGATGTACCTTTCCGATACCAAGACTTTCCGGTCGAGGTGCGTGCTCGTACCAGTCATGCCCTTGAGGCCGCCGCGACATCCACAAGTTGATAGTCTCCTCAGCGGCAACAACTTTGACGTGGACTACGATGTGCTTTGTGCGGTTTCCAAGAAGATGATAAAAGCTGGTGAATCGGCCGGCGCGTCTTCTCCTCCCATCTCAGCTAAGAACGCGACCTCCTACTATGCATCTCTCTCATCGCTGATTAACAAGCATTGTTGAGCTGCCATGGAGCAAGCTGCGGCAAGTACCCACTCTCGTGATTTGTGGGTGACTGAAATTCGGCCTGATTCGTATGAGCTTTCTCTCTTATCCTTTATATATATCCTGAGCGCCTTAGGCAACTGTCATGTTGCCAAGCTTAGATGACCACTGGAGTGATCCGAATCAGGTGTCTGTTTCAACAACATATATAATTATCACCGAGGAGAACGCTGACGGCGAGCTCGTCGCCACGTTCATGACTGGAGGCTGTCGTCTCACCAACGCGCCGGTCCCTGTCTCAGTCCCCTTTCAGGGCTATGAAGAGACATGTGCCAAGCTCACGATGGGTCCACCTCGTCTGGGTGAGGAGCAGAAGTTGCATCTCAAGTCAGTGAAGCTGAACCAGCACACTCGTACGTCCTCGGTGATTTTGCGTTTGTATAGATCACATACAGCGCTCTTTTGGCCACTGGTCTACCCCACTCCGAGTAGGAGCGTATCCAGTTTCCTGCTAAGATGGAGATAGATCTGACGATACATGGCGGTATCGACAAGGCATTACTCACTGCATTGACTTGACTCCCTTGACTGGTAGGTGCAGGATTCCGTAGTACGTATTCAGGCTGCATGTGGAGTCGAGAAAGGACGAACTCGAGCACCGCCACGCCTTGATCCAACCTCCACCGGTGGAGATACTGGTCGGATAAATCAGCTCAGTGTGCATGCTCTTGTCAGCATGGGCAGGAATATTCTATCACATTCGCATTCCACCAGACGCTGCAGTCACCGATGTCGCAGATGAATCTCCAATCCCAGCAATATTACCATGGAACTGTTCATAGTACAGTCTTCGCGCAAATTCGTTCGAGTCGAATGTCGCGACTTAAACAAGCAGCTCCAGAAGCCGTCTTAGGCGCGCGGAAATCACGTGGACGCGTACACATATATCAAGGAGACCGCAACGTCACGAGTATCTCATACGTTTGCGGTCCTAACATGTTGACTCAATTATCCGAGCTACGCTTTATGGCTTTCGGATACATACGCACGCATAGCTCCATCTGTGCAGAGAGATGGAAGGTATGAACGAACAGATCCCGAACAAGTTCAAGCCTGCTCGGAATGAGGTTTCGCGGCTCGATCATAATGTGCGCCTCGAGGATCCATACGTCACCTCGCTTTGCCGTCCAGGATCTGAAGCTGATTTACTCGCGTTTCTGACACCCAATCCATTGGCCAGCAGTTGGGCTATTCATCCAAGGGGTGTTGTGGGATCATGAACCACGCACGAATACAACATGTTTGAAGACGTCGTACTTCGACATACTGGTCCAGAACGTCCGTACAACCAAGACAAAGACAGTATATCAACTAGCTTTCACACCAAACGTCACTATTTCTCATCTCATGATCTTCTATGATTTGTCGGTCGAAAGATTTCGCATCCCAATAATCCTCATTGTGCTTGACGGAGTCGCTTGTTGAATTGGAGACCCTGCTCTATTCTTCTCTTGTTATTACCTTGGCTAGCATTCAATCCTCCAGATTGAGTATTAAACATTCGAACATCATAGATCAATTATAGGATATTGATGCGTCACGATGTGAATGCCTGTGGTCAGCTTGTCCACGCCCAGGTGTGATTACAATTGCATTAGAAAAAGGATTCCGTTTTCTCTTGTGTGTCCCACCATCTGTCGTATAACCTTTCCCACTGTACCTCATGAGCAGACATCTATTTCAATGTTCGTGTCTTCGATCATTGTCAAAACAAGCATCAAGTGATCGGCCGTAACCAGTAAGCTCGAAGGAACACGATATGGATCCTCCCGAATCCTTCAGCCCTGACGACGTCGGCTAAACTCCACATCCCAAACACTTCCCCTCATCTCCACGGACTTCATCTCTTGCTTGACAACCATGTTTCGCAACACTCTGTTGATACCATTTTTGGCCTCATTATTCGCTCTGGTGCTGGTTGAATCAGATGCTTTCGTGCTAGATGCTGCTTTCGATGCATTCGTGCAGCAAGTGTGTGACGAATTACATGTGCCTGGACTCGGTTTAGCTGTGGTTCACCAGGACTCCTTCAAGTCAAAGGTACATTGTCTCGCAGAAATAATACCAAGAAGTTTGGCTTGACATAAGCAGGGGTATGGGTATTCAATACTGCCCGATGTGAAGGCGACACCAGACACCTTATGGTTCACAGGCAGCACGACCAAAGCATTTACCGCGACTGCGGCTGCGCTGATTGTCCAAGATTCGGTCGATTACGCAGACATAAGTTGGTCCAGCCCACTCTCTAAGCTTCTGCCTGGCTATCTTGCTCTTGAAAATGACTACTACACTTCCCACATAACCCTCGAGGACGCTCTGTCTCACCGGTCTGGACTACCCAGGCATGACCTAGCCTATGGTTGGGCCGATCGCCGTGGCCGCGACGCTGACACTATTGATGTCATGCTCACAATGAGACATCTCCCTTTGACCGCGGAACCAAGAACCAAGTGGCAGTATTGCAACATTATGTATGCGACGGTAGGGCAAGCGCTGGCCATGATAGGCAGACTTCGTTTCGGTGATGTCTTGCGGAAGCTTATATGGGAACCAATCGGCATGATCTCGACTACCACCTCAGTGAAGGAAGCCGAGGCCGCGAGAGATCATTACGGACAGAAGAGACTGTCTAGAGGCTATTATTGGAACAAAGATCATTACCTTCCCGAGCCATATGTAGGACTCGATTCCCTCGCAGGTGCCGGTGCTACTATCTCGTCGGTCAATGATTATGCTCTGTGGGTACAGGCCTTGCTCAATGCTGGCAGTAACGACTCTTCTCCTGTCAGTCAAGCTATCTACGGAGATATCACCAAGGCTAGAACTATAATAAGCGATTTACTACCTGGCATGCCAAGTCAAGAGATTCCACCTCTCTATGCTCTCGGATGGTTCAATGTCATGATAGGCTCGCATAAGGTCATCACGCACGGAGGTAGCGTTCTTGGTTTTGGCGCACAAGTCTACTTTCTGCCTGAGGAAGGACTCGGCTTTGTGTCCATGGCAAATACAGCAGGAACCAGTAATCAGGCTGGTGCGTGGATATTTCTCGAAGTCCTCAAGAAGTTGGGCAAGATATCTTCGGAACAGGATGCCGTCCAGCTGGAGTCACTGCACGAACATAGTGGGAGCTATACAAGAACGCCTCAGAAGTCGTCTCCACAGCTCCACAATGTTCACATCTCATCGGGTCAAATGTTACCGCTTCCTGGACACCTGGATGACTACGCTGGCTTATATCACCATGCTGGCTATGGAGACTTCAATGTATCTCTAGTTAAAAGCAAATCTGCTCACTATGGAGGGCGCGCGACAAATCTACAAGAGTCGATTCTGTCCACCTCGGCCGATGTCTCCTTGCACGTTCGACCTTCGAATAGAACATGGTCTTACGAAATTGGTCTCAAGCATACGAGCAATACTCTTTTTGATGCCGAGATCTATGTAAGTCAAACAAGTCGTTCAATGTAATGCCACGTCGCTGACAAATGGCCATAGTGGATCCATGGTCGAGGTGAAGTTGGCGATGAATGTGCTCAGGAGAAGACGGTACGACCGGGAAGCTATGAGGTAAGATGTAAGAAAGAGGTCTTTTTGNAACCTTTGTTCGAAGCCCGAGCTGTTTTCGAACATGATCTTAACGGCGAGGTTACGAAGCTGGGCATTGAGCTTGAGCCAGAGATGTTGCCCAAGGACGACAGAAAATGGAGAGATGGTATGATCTGGTTCGAGAAGCAGACATAGACTGATTCAGGAGGACCCGGCACTTCTTGATTCAGACTTGGACACGTGAAGAAGTTGTGTTATCGATACCGCGCTGAGTCTTTTTGTAGTACTTAGCTTAGATTATGCCGTCCTGGACTCGTATGTGCTTCTTCATAGTACGGTTCTATTGCTCAAGTGCATGGACACGTCGAAGGAGCTGTTGTAGGGCAGATCTCTGGTTCCAGTGTGTTTCGTGGTTGAGTCGATCCTCAAGTGTCTGGATACGCGATGCTTTAGCATCGAGATGAACCTCTTGGTCCTCTGCTTCGTTCGCCGCATATCCCTCAGTAACGTGTATCTCGCGATGAGTTTTTCGACATACCTTTGGAGCTTGATGTCGATATTCTGCTGCTCGTCGTTGATCTCATCTTGTCGGCTTTTGGAATCTTCGACCCATTCGAGAGTGTGTTGCAGCCCCTGTAGCCATAAGGCGCATATGTACGAGTTCAGGAATGTCTAACTTGATTGACCATCTACATGTATTCAATCCATCGCCCAAGAAGGTGGTGATCGCTTGAGACCATAGACAAGTCTTCATGGCCTTGAAAAGCTTAGGTCCGTCAGTATTTGGAGTTCACCGAAGACTTATATGATGACAATAGCACTCCGGATCTGTTGTGTTTTATGGCTTTATTATGCTCGACTAAAGGAAATTCGCAATGGAAAAAGCAGAGTGGGAGCCGACCAAAGTCCACATACTCCCGAGATGCGCAAAACCGAAGAAAATACGAGACTAATTTTCCCCAGGATCGGAGCGAAGAACCAAGATAACTCTGCAGCTCAATCTGCGGTGACCTGAAGACATCGACACCAGCGACCGGATGTCCTGTCACGCTTCCTCGTCATGCATCAGACGTGTGATCTGACAACCATGGTCAGTCGATCGCTTGCCGTGTTGGTAATCAACAGCAACTTACCTTATCCTACCACTTCGTGGTGGCAACCAGTTTTCTGAGAGTGTAGCTCAGGGTCGCGAACCCAGTGGCTGAGAAGTGGGAGACCTGAGGAGCAGGGTTGCAATCGGGATCGAAGTTGTCATGCTCTCTCCATAGGTTGACGACTGTCAAAGAGATCAAGCCGGGTAACTTGCTCATGGTCTCAAGGGCTTTGTCCCATGAGAGTCGGCCAAAATCACCTAGAGACCAACGCTCATAGAGGTTGGCGTTGACGATGCTGATCTCCTTCAAAGTAACGAAGCGACTGTCGCAGATGAGACTCATAGTTGTAAGGTCAATGTCAACATCCTGGAAGGTAAGCTTGCGCACATCTACGGAGGTGATGAACCCCTCGACTTCACGCAGCTGACGGGCTCCGAGGCCAGAGATGATAAGGCACTTCGAGTGGCTGTTGTAGTCGACTGTGGCAGGTTCCCCGAGCTTGGCTGGATCAGCGTAAAAGAGGGAGATGTCGTGGACAATGGCTAAGTTGGCAAGACTGTGGTAAAGGGTGTTGCGACTGGGTAGCGTGTCAAGTCCCTTGGTGTTCCTAGGGAGTTCAAGGCAGATAGGACCATGTCCAATGCGCTTGCTGTGATTGAACTCTATGATGTGCTCCAACAACCTGAAGACGTTTGTCTCTACTGATTGAAAGTCCTCGAGAGCGACAGCGGTCACAATGGCCTTGATGGCGACTTGCTGGTTGCGTGTGAAGAGCGCTTGAAAGGTCTGTGATAGTACGTTGAGGTCATCCATCGTAAGAGCTTCGAAACCGTGGATCTTGAAGTTGATGGTTCGTATAGCGGGACCATACTGTTGGTGAATAGCAGCGTGAAAAAGATTGTTGAGCGATTTAATGCCGACGGTCACACTCATATCGCTGAAGTTGGCACGGGCGAAGCAGAGCTTGCCAGCAATCTCAGCGACTCGACACGTCTGACGAAATGCGCGCTGGACTTCAGGTTCCAAACTGCTGTAGATCTGGCGGGTAAGGGATCCATGGTTCTGAGGGCCTCCATCAGCCATTGAGGAAAGAAAGTTTGCAACCCAGAGAAAGACGAAAACTCTTCTGCTGATTCTTTGATACGTTGGCATATCTGCTCCAGAGCACTATCTTCCCGAATATCTATCAAAGTATATGAGGTGGTGCTGTTGTTTTCCATGGGAAACTAAGGAGTAGTAAGCAAGGACTGAGTGTAGAAAGGATTTCTTCCTCCATCTTTCGAGTCCGCGCGAGAAACGAGCCCGCAAACTAACAATGGTAAGAGACTTGGGTCTACTCTCATTAGCCACAGCGATGTTCGAGGGTTCGGAGCTACTTTCGTACGGCAGAGTAGAGTCTGACCCTTGGTCCGAGTATGAGAGATTGATGTCGTGGATGTTGGTCATGGACGCGAGCTTTTGGTAAAGTGTGATTCTGTGAGGAGCGTTGCAGGGTTCTCTTTGGACCGAGAGAAGCTCAATTATAAAGGTCTCGGAACCAAATATAGCACTATCAAGAGACATGCTCTACTGCTTGAGAAAGGTGTGGTAGGTACATATTATTATATGTGATACTATAAGCACGATATGACGAATAGCAGTCCTGATGCTACTTCTGCTTAGGGCATTGGTGATAACGAGCTGTAGGTGTATCATCGATGAATCACAGCAGTAATTAAGGCCTGAGGGTAGAGATGTAGCCTAGTGCGAAGCTACCTACACCTTTCCTCCATAGATCGTTCAATTTGACGGAGCAGATACTGGGAAGTTGGATGATCCCATCGTCGCTCTTGCGCTTGAATCCCTGTATTTTCAATAGACGTTGCTTTTTATCGACATAGAAAATATTCCGGATGATGTAGTTTGTATCAAATGCACACTTCGCGGGAGGTTCGATAGAGTCCGTCCACCTACACAGAACGACATCTACCGAACCCTATAGTAATTTGCAGCTCTGCGATCGACTACATTTGGAATCAATAGTCCAAAGTCTCTTCGTCGTCGTGGATGAAACTTCGGTACCTGAGACCGGAGACGGCATGTGCGATAGAGTGCAAGCGGGAATCTGTTGATCCCAAATGACGTTGATGATGGTCTGCTAAATATCAGTAGCTTACAATTTTGGTGGTCAATGTCATTCTTCTTTGAGTCGAACGTGTTTAAGTCGTGCTAGAGCAGCGTTTACTGTTTATCCAGTCACAGAAGTGGACCGCATGTTCGTGGTCATTTGAGTTGATGATCGGTTTTGGGTGAAACACAAAGGAAAGTGGGAGCCGACCAAAGTCCACACACCCCAACCGCGTAGAGACAAAGGAGATAGACAGCAAACGTCATGACCAATGCTTGGTGCATAGACGAGAAGTCCGTCCTCTCCATATCTGCCTTGCTGCTTTGTCCTCCAAGATCTCCTGATCGTTTCTTCTTATATACACAGATCGCTGCATCAGAGTTACGATGAATGGACTTGGAGAACAAGAACTAGCAAACACAGGCAGCATGTGCAGAAATTGCTACCTAGCAGCCTTTCGCAAGGATACTAGAAGCATTGATTCAAGATCATTGGGAAGAAAAAAACAGTTCTGATTCCTGGCTAAGATAGAAGGGATGAAAAGCAAGAAAAAGGGAATCAGGGTCGATCAAAGTCAACACACCCTGCAAAGTCGATGAGTGAATAAGACACAAGGGAAAAACGAGATAGAGCATACTTGCAAGGACCGCATAGTAATTGACTTTCGTGTTCCGCGAGTATCGGTTGGTCGATTCTCGTGGGTTTCTGATGTTTCATGTGATCATGTCGAGGAACACTCGAGCTCGGGACCGCCGTAACAGCACCTCTGTGAACGAACTTTAACTTGCAATACGATAGGCACAGTAGACGTAACTAGGGCCGCTGTACCGTTGGGCCGCCACAATGTTGGGTGATGATATGTTTTGAGTGATTCATAACCGAGATGATGTCTGACAAGCCTGGTTTGACGGAAGAATGAGGATAGTGTTGACTGAAGATGTAGGTGACCGATTCCTATAGAATGATCTAATTCGAAGGTTTAGTACTGAACGCGATTTAGTATTTCGATACTTGTGTAGTCTCTGTGAGCCTACCTGGGACTACCACTGCGGGGTAGAAACCAAGGCGTGGAGGTTGTGATGCACAGTGGCCATGCCACTTGCAAAGACACTTTGGACTTGCACAGGCTGAGTAGCAACTACGTTGGTGTCCCACGATGGAGCTACAGGAGTCTCCATACGAAGGTTTGCCAGTTTACAGACGAACAATGCCGGGAGTCTAGAAATCTTCTCGATGGTCTCTTTCCAAGAGGCAGGCAAAGCATCACTGTCAGACCGCAGTCCCGATAGATCCGTATTCTCGATGACGACTGAGCTCAGAGCAGCACGGTGGATACGGCAAAGTTGACTCATGGTAGTCGTGTCAAGAGAGGAGTGTTTGATCACAATCTTTGCAAGATGGATTCCCCTGAGAAACGAACGCAACTCTACACAGTGCTGGACTTTCAAGCCCACGATGGAAAGCGCCTTTGTGCTAGCATCGTATGTGAACCTGGCAGGGTTTGAGACGTCGGATTACACCACATTGATGTCGTTGGAGGAGGAAAGCACCGTGAGATCGTGAAACAGCAGCGTCCTCAGGGGCGCCTTACTGGAGCTGATCGGGGGTGAGGGTAGGAAGAGAGCGATGTCAGTTTCGGTAAAACGCGCGATTTCGTTCGTGCGCTTGAAGTGCAGCAAAATACGATGAATGTTGCTTTCGATGATTGCGGTATCCGTAACCGCTCTGGACCAATGTGATAAATGCACCATGAGCTGGCTAGGAATGGTTGACATTATGTCTTCGATAACAGAGATGTCAGACGCTGGATCTGGGGATCACATCGTGGGTGAGAAGTTGCAAGTTGCAGCTTGTGAAGGAGGCTGAGACGATGTCTCCTGTGACACCGATTTCAAACACGAGTACTCGGATCTGGAGATCGAAGTCTGAGTGTGAATCTGCAAGTTGCTGCTTGACAACCGATTTCGATGCTACCGAGCGCTATAGTCAGTCTTCCGAATTCCAGCTCTACGAAGTGATGTGCAGTAACGTTCTTTGCCAGGCAGATTGGAAACTGGTACAAGCAGTTCAAGTTGGGGGACAGAAACTCTCAACAATACATTCTTTTCGAAGGAAGATAGGCCACCAATATGGCCACTTATGGGTTCTGGGAGTAGATATACAATCGAACCAGAAAGAAGGCACAAGAAAGTGGAGAGACAGATTGCTTGATAGAATGTTGCTCACATATATGGCTGCTTTCAGCACAATATCACATTGCTCTGGCGGGCTCATTCGCTACCTGTATCACGAACATCATTCAGCATCCTGGTTATACAATTTTGCTCGTGGGATAGAAACAATCAGTGCAAAGCATCATCTGCCGAGTCGGTGTGGTCGCTATCGCTCGAGAAGTCAGTTGCTTCAAGCGTCTCAAATCTTGCGCTGAGCGACTCTAGGTCACGTAGGATCTCTTCATGACCTTGATATATGTGGACCTCTCTACAAGCAGCGAGGAGTTCCTCCACACGTATATAGATTTCTGGCTGTTAGAGGTGAACATCAGTGAAACTGCAGTGTTTAAGTCCAGGAAGAGGGTCCTCTTTGTTGACGTCTTTCACAAGCTTGGTGAAGATTTCGCTCCACTCAACACCCCAGAATTGACAGGAGTGAAGCTCGAGGTGCTTGAGTGGAGAATTGTGAGCAAGAAAGGTGTCAAGCTTGCCTTCCCAGTAGGTGGTGATGTCTNNCTTTACAAAGTTTTGTGGTAGCCATTGTGTGAAGGCTTGGAAGTCATTGATGATGCCTGAGATGAACCCGGAGCGTACTTCCGGACACTTTTCACCTGGCATGTAATGGAGCAAGTCGTGGTGTCCTCTCTGACGCCCATTGAAGCCGGCACTGAATCGTCGAGCGAGCAGGTCATCACGGGAACGTCGGTTCGATTGAGCTGTTGAGCTCTCTGCTTGAACCTCGTTGAGATAGTGGAGAATGTTTGTAGGACCGGCGCATTTCTGGTTGAAATCGAGCATCATACCAGGCATGGGATAGTTGATAGATTGTATAGCATGAATATAAGCAAAGGTGATTTCGTGCATCGCTCCACGATCAATGATAGGTGGTGGTTTTCTGAGGACCTCGAGCGGCGTAGGATCGTGCTTGGGAAGAAGACTCTGCCAGCCCCAACCATGATATGGCCCGCGATTGCCGTAAAAGTGAACCTTGACTGAATGACTTCCCCAAAGCTTGAGGTTTTGCAACACAAGCACAAGCTGCTGTTCGAAGATGGCATTTTCGAGGCAAGTCAGTTGCTCGTGGCAGGCGGCGGCTCTGGAAACCAGGACTTGGCTACTCAAGCCGGTCTCTTGAGCTCGAACGAATGATGGCACTGAGAGTAAGATGCTGTTGAACCCCAATTGGCGTATATGAGGGCCCACCCTTGGGTTGGCGGATATCTGGACGAGCTCAGCCATACTGCTGTACGAGATCACATGTGGACGCTCAGCGAAAAACGTTTCGCCAAACCATCTTGCTGCAGCGTCATGGAAAGACTTGCAGAAAAGGCGAATGGCCGTGAGGCCTGGAGCTTCTGCAAACATGATTGTCAGAGACAGAATCTCTGGGTGGAATAATGCCAAGTTCAGCGCCATTGTTGCTTCCTTTTTTCGATTGTCTGATTGTGATGCTGTATGAGCTGGAGGTACTTTGGCGTTTAGACAAAATACTGCTAATGGAGATACGTAAGAAAGTACGAGTACTGTATATATAGTCCCTCTCGAACATCTGCTGTGCCAACTGCTGGCAATGTACAGCACATCCAGCGTATAAGTCGGCATATAACCAGCATCTATGTAGACATGAGACTGGCTTGTGTTTTAAAATCATGACAATACGTCGGTTCCGCGATAGTGGAGTAAACGTAATTATCATATGTGAAATTGAGCGTGTGAAGTCAGAAGATATACTTGAGCCTCTCAGCTCTCTAGTCTGCTGGAACTGAAGCAAACATTGGAGTGTAGCACATGTCATATTGCTCAAAAGACGTGACATACTACTTGGCTTTGGGAATGTGACTTGCTTCCAGGATCATGACAAAGAATTAATTGAGATTCTGTTTTCATCACCCCAAAGGAATGCTGTCGATAGGCTCCTTGTACAGACCTTTGTAAGCTAAGGCACCATGTTACTTAGCGGAGGTTGTTCTCTTCAATGGAAAACCGAGAAGATGCGATAATTGCCCGGGACAAATCTGACAGCATCCAACACACACTCCTGGTTCACACTGATCTTGAACCAATTCATGTTCTCCTCTCTCTCCTCGAACAACCCCTCCAGCACTGCCAACCTTCTTTCCCACACAGCGTCTCTTCCCCTGAGCATTTCTACTTCTTCTTCCAGAGCCTTGAATTGTTCCTTCAACTGCTGATTGTCTCCTTTCAACTCCTTGACGTCGTCTTGCAGCGCTTCGCAACGCTTCTCGATCTTGACCAATCCTCCTTCCATCCATTCACCACCCTCGGCAAGCATCTTGCCCCTGTCCTTGACGTTCTGTAGCTGTAGACCGTGACTATTCAGGCGGATCTCACACCCCTTGACAGACTTCTCCTGCCCCATGCGCTGGGAGTCAAGAGCAGCAAATTTGGCGTCTGCATCCTTCATGGTTTCGCGGAGGCGCAATTTGCGGTCCTTGTTGAGATGACGTTGCTCCCTGAAGTTCTTAGCAGTGTGTGCCTCGTGGAGGTTGTTAAGGTGCGTCTGCTTGGCAAGAGCGAGATCAAGGTGAGCGAGACAAATAATGATCTGCTTGATCTCCGTGGATGATGTTGTCTGGAATGTAGACTTGAGTTGCTCTCCGATAGACTGAACGCTCTCTTGCGTGTCATCTGAGCTTCTTGGGTCGGGCTGATGGAGGTCGTCGACCGGGAGGTCATCGACCCTTGAGAGAGTGGCGTAGTCAACGTCTCTCTCACCGTTGGTTGTAGTGGTACTATTGAACATGGTACCGGGATCGTCGGTATCATTCAGGAGTTCTTCGGGGAGTGTGAAGGAAGTGTGAGAGGGACCCATTGAGTCGCTCATTGTCTCCGTGGCGACAACGCTGTCTTGTACTGATTCAGAATTGCTGGCGATTGCCCGATGGTTGCGAGGAGATGTATAGAGAGTCTCTTCGCCGTGGTGAGTACCAGGGAGCTTGACAGGCATGTCATGTTCTTCCTTTTGGTGCTTCATCGTGTTGACGTTGATGGTGTTGCGATAAACTGGACACGAAGCAGAAACGAGTTGGGCGAAGAATCTTTTCTTATCTGGAGTGAAAGTGTAAACCACATCATCGACGCGAACGTGTTGTTTGGAAAGGGAATCTCACAACACGAATGCGGTTGCTGAGCATCTGGAGCGGTGCAGAGACAGGTGCCTTTACGACTATCACCAGTGAGAGACTGCCAAATCTCGACTCCCTTTGACCGCTCGAGATTATATAAGACAGTTTGTGCTAAATAGCGACCATTCTACCCATGGCTTGGGCACAAGAACAATAAGAGATGGGTGAGTCTCTTGATAAGTTTAACTCAAGACTAGCTGACAAACCGCTACTGCAGAGCATCTCACCTGCTATGAGACGAGCACTCGCATGAAGACGCTAGCCACCAAGATATCAAGAGGGCGTTCAAGAAAGTAGTTGAGAATTAGGTCTAGAGTATGCAACCCACCATCTGCGAACTGTATAGACCGATTAATCTAGTTGTCACACGTAGGCCCCTCAAAGTGCTTTCTTATATCTGTCCTTGGATCTCGTCAGCTGCCTGAAGTCGAGGGATTCGTTGCCTTCGTGGACATACGCAAGCTCAAAATCTCCTTCGATCCACTTCTATGGAGTGATTAGACTGTCAGTCTGTGGCACAACGCAGACAGATCATTGACCACCGAAGGCCGGTCCATGGCGGCAAAGCTGTCAATTTGCATAGCCTCAAGGCCACCAGGGACAAACTCAGCAACGCGGAGGTTGTCCTACTCGCAACAGTCGAGCACAAAATTGTTCATGAGGCTGGATAAGATCTTCAGCCACGAGTGGGGACCGGATTGATTGCGTAGAACGATGTCTTCGATCTTGACGCTGGTAAGAGAGCCCGATCTTTCGTCAAAGAGCTGTTCGAACCAGCACTGACGGGCATCACATCGCATGATGGTGATGTCTTTGATGTTGAGAAGACGAACTAGAGTTTTGAGCTCTCGAAAATGGCGTTCTTCCAGACTGTCAATGACGATGGACCTGGCCTCTGCGTCGTAAGCAACCGGACCCTGTGTGTCCGTGTAGTGCATGCGGAAGTCGCAGACAGTGGAGTAATCGCTGATGTCCTGGAAGAGTGGGATACGGTTAGGGAAGTGGAAGTTAGCCAGAGAAGGAGGTGGTATGGTGAGTGTCAAGGGCACAGGGGAAAGCCTCAAGCGAAGATTCGTGCGCAGCAGATAGCCGATGACTTGGGAGAATTGTCCGACCATTTGGCAGGAGCAAGAACCCGAAGAGGTCATTGTAGCGATGGATATCTTGATGGCAACATTCTGATCTCTTTGACTCAAGGCGTTCAGAATGCTTCGCATCTTCATGTTCAAGTAAACAGCGTCATCAACTATGCTGCCCATGACAAAGGTGATTGATTTGACGGCCACTCCATAACAAGAGTGCCTGACGATAGACTGCAGGATATCAAGGCCTTTGAGTGTTGCGGAGATCCTGATATGCTGGAAGTAATCCGTAGTGAACGAACTTCGCGAGAGCTCATCACACGCGAAGCTGGCGAGACGAAAGTTGACCAAATCTTCACGTTTCACAGACTGAGTGATGTGCCCAAGGATCTCTGTTGGTAACATCGCCATGCTTTCGGATCTGTGATGAGACACGAGAAAAGGTGCGATGCTGCAAAGCGGATAGAACTGCTTATGAGGTTGATTTTGATGTCTGACTCATGGCCGTGGGGAATGCGTCTCTTTGAGAATATCTGATGTTCACTACCATTCTAACTCGTCTTGGCGCTGGTGAGATATAGCCAGTACACTCTCTAAACATGTCGCAGAGGAGGCAAGTTTTCGTGCCTCGATATTGATCCAAATGAGGACTTTCTTCGTACAGCATTGACATCCAGACCGGTACCAGTAACCGGAGTCTCTCCCTAAATCCATCGAAGCATGGCTCTGATCTTATATTTTGAGAACTGCACTTTAGATGTCTTATTGATATAAGCCAAGCACTTGGGGCTTACGTCTTCTGTAGCACAAGGACACCTGCCTTGCTCATCGGCGCTCTACCTTTTATGACCACCTATACCACCTCTTCCCATGCCGACATCTCTAGCCCATACGGCTCTTGAGCGACATAGCCATTCTTTACTTTAGTCCAGTATAGAAAGAGTTCATTAGATCTTGGGTTCATAACAGCTCCTGATGTCGGTACGTTCTTGAGACATGTCGACAGTAGGTCGCCATTCTGATCCTCCGTATGGCACTCACCAAGGTGAACGGCAAAGTGAGTATTGTCAATGTTTGGACACGACATGTCTTCGGGACAGGTTCATTGTTTTGCTAGACTTTTTAGTGGATATTGACGAATCTCTTTGTCTCCATTGTTAAACAACCAAATGCGTCAAAGTCTGTTGCGATTTCGGATCTTTTCTTTGTTCGTAAATCTTCCACGCAACCTCGAATTAGTTTTCCTCGCCGTAATACACACTCTTTCCAAAAAAATTCGATCTTTCTTCTTGCCTGCCCTGGCACGACTCGTTCTATATTACTATTGGTCATCAAAGCAGCCGAAAACCATGGCGCTTAACGACAAAACCACCCCTGATATTCTCCTTCCTTCAACTCATATCTGGAGATACGATAAGAAGATCGGTTCCGGCAGCGAGGGAACAGTCCATCTCTGGAACCACTTGGACACCACTACCCAGAAGATCGTCTCTCGGATTGTGATAAAGAATCTCTTGACTACAGATGCACACATCATCCCCAATGGCCCAGCAAAAGGCCGACTGCTACAGGCCTATATTGCACAAAAGCTTGCACCCAGGGGAGCAACAGAGGCATATACCGTCCCCACTCTCGGGGTCAGAAAATTAACCAAGTGGGAAAATGCATGGAGGACCTATCACCCATACTACAGTGCAGGACATCTAGACAACCTCGTACACATCAACACTCGATCACGAAACTCCAAATTTTTGCCAGAGCCATTTATCTGGTTCCTCTTGCATCGAATGATGAAAGCTGCAGTCGCCATGGACGAGACTCTGCATATGGGTTCCGCAGCAGGCCCCTGTATAATTCACAACGACATCAAATCCGAAAACATTCTTTTCGGCCACCCAGGGTCACTAGGAAAAGATACGGATTACATCATGTACCCGCCGGCTTATCTCGCAGATTTCGGAATGTCATACTTGACTTCCGATGATGAGAGTTGGAGAAACAAGATTAGAGGGACTGTGGGTTGGTGTGCGCCAGAGATAGATCGCGGGCCCGATCCTAATGCTCCAAGGATGACAGCACGGTACGATGTTGCTCCAAAGTCAAAGACCAATGTCTGGCAAATCGGATACTGCGTTTTGCGAGCGATGGAGGGCGATGGACTTGCAACACCTGTTCTCGTCGACAACCAGGACTTGAGATATAGAAATGACAACTGGACCAGATTGACCCAAGTGGGAGAGATGGCAGTTTACAGTGCCGATCTGATTAATGTTGTACAGTCTTGCATCAGATATGATTTGGTAAATCGACCAACTCCTAGGGCTGCTCTGGCACAGATCGAACAGTTCATGCCCGCACATGCCGATACAATGGATCGATGGGGAACACTCAGCTGGATCAAGGCAGAACACGCCAACACAATGGAAACCGCAGACGACCCCAACGACGAAGATGATATTCCAGCAGCTCCTACTCCCACCGCCACCACAAGCAAGAAACGCAAAGCAATCCTCCCCTCCCACCCCTCTNCCCGTCCAAACAAACGCCCAAGATACACCAACACCCTCCAACGGCAACTCAACCTAGTAGCAACCCAAATGAAGCCCTCANGCCAAAACCGGTAGAGTGAAAAAGAAGACCACCCCTTCATCCTCGCCGAAAATCACAGAATAATCATCCAAGACGATAAACTCTTCGATCCAAAAGAGTTTTTCGGGAACGAAGATCCAGCGCCTGTCAGATATATTGATGCTTTACCTCGAGCGATGACTGGAAAACGGACACTATCTGCACCGAACTCGCCGACTGCAGCTTCAGCAATACCTCCAGAGCGAAAGACTTCTGCCCCGCTTCTCAGCAGTAAGGATTACTACTTCAACCTCGGTGATAAGGAAGTTCTTTTGACTGACGAAGCTCGTTATCAGGCCGCACTTGATCATTGGAAATCTGCTTGGCCAGTTCCCAAGACTATATCCTCTACGGATTGGAGTATGTCCAAAGTGAGATTTGCTGATAACTCGAGGAGGGCGAGCAATATACATGAAAGGGTGTATTGGTCGAGTCGTAGTATACAGGCTGAAAGCTTCGCCAAAGGCAACTTCAAGTCTGGTAAGGGTAGCGATTTGCACATCAAGATTGCAATTGACGCTTGGAAGATGAGTCTCGATGATAAGTTGTGAGAGGTGTCGATATGTAATGCGTAGATTTGAACTTATTCTCTTGTACAGACACATCATGTACGCATAGCTGTCTCTTGGATCAGAGCAACATTAGAGTCTTGTCCTCCAGAAGCCTAGCCATCTTCTCGAATTTCTCGCTCGTAAGGCCGACATGCTTTTCTCTCGGACCGCGCTTGAGTAAGTCAGGGAAGGTCCCACGAGACATTTGACGGCCTGGGAGTCGAGATGCTATGAAGCTTTCATTATCCAGATGAGACAAGGTCTGGTGACGAAGCTCCACGGGTACCTCCTCTATCGCCGGCATAACGGAAAGCAATCTCGATCTCAGATCTCGAATCTGGTCCGAGGTGATAGATACTAGATGAATGGTCGTGTTTGTGTTGCGGATAATCGACTTTTGTACTTCGTTGCGAGTATGACTCGAAGCGGCGAGCGAGATTAAGCATGTTTTCATCGACTTTGGTAGCACGTCAGCGCGATGGTGTAGGTGGCGATGCCAGAAACAAACGGACATGCGTGCGATGGTGACATTCGATTGACAGTGTCAGAAGGCAACCAGTAAGTTCTTTAGGTGACAGCGTGGCGGCGCTTCGCTCCTTGCCAATACCGACGTCGAGAACCGAACTACACAATGTCTCTATACAGTCTTCGAATCCCATGCCGTCCATTCGCAATGCGCCAAACTCCCAACTCCAACTTCACTTATGCCCAAAGAAACCTCTCTGGCGCTTCCCACACCTCATCTTCATTTTCCGGCCACACAATATCAATCGGTCGCGTACCTGATCCATCAACATTCTGTAGTAAACCCTCTAACTTTGGAAACCCATCCCCATCATCTTCACCAACCTTTGGCATCAAAACCCCTCGCTCCAAACTGTTCTCATGAATCTGTACATGATCATACCTCGCTCTTCTCATGCCCATCAACTGTTTTGCGACAAACTTGCTCTCGATCTCTGTGGTTGATCCTTGCAAAGAAGCAGTACGGTGCATATATCCAAAAGTGCCCAAAAGATACCTCAACACCTGAGGAACCTCTGTGTTCCCATCAACCAATTTTCTCTGTAGGAAAACTGCAAACCTAAAGTTTTCAACGCGAGGAAAGCAGTGAATAAGTGGTATTAGCAGATATTGTACCAACAACCCCTTGCGATAAAGGGTCAGGTCAAGGTGAATAAACAAGCAGACTAGTAAATCGCTTCTGGAAGAGAAGAAACCAGATGTCGGCTCTGTGTTGCGAGAAGCAAGTGTTTCCGTAAACTTGCAAGTGGCTGTCCAACAGTGTTCCAAAGAGGGATCTTCGAATAAAGCATCATGGCAGAGGACTTCCTGCTCACGATCATGAAATGCTCGTGCGTGTCTCGACTTTTCTGCTTCGTCGCGGTGACGATATATTGCATGAAGTTTTCCCTGATTTGCGAAGGCGTCCTTTTGATCTTTCGAAGGTTTGCTGAGGGACACTATTTGACTTAGGTCTAGGCTGTCACGGCGGCTGCCTGATTGCAAGAATGTCGATGACGAAGCCGAGTCTTGAAGCATGTCGCGTAAGCTTTCTGCTGCAGTACGATCTTTCTGTAGCGCATCACTATCGCTCAAGAGAGACGACTTGTGTTGGCGCTGCACCGGCGAGGATTGTGATCGTGACTGGACCAAGGGAAAAGCCCACGAGACGCGCTTTGTAGACTTCATGGTGGTCAAGCAAGCCATGATGTCGACTATTGTTGTGGTTATGTGACTCTTCGAACAGCAAGCAGGAGGAAAACCAAGGTGTGTGTGATGATCTAACAGGAAGGGGCGCGCTCGCTGACTCAACACGGAATGACTCCGTGATTATTCGCGAACCTCAAAACCGTTCGTTCCTGAGTATCAAAGCGAGGACGGCCTCGACCATGATATTGAGGTGATTAGAGTATGATTTTGCTCGTCGTGAGCGAAACACCATGTTCGCCAAAGACGAATAACCCCCGTTGCTGTTCGAAACTTCGTTGAGCAACTGTCCCAATATAGTGACTGTGGATTGCATCTACTTCGCCCCTTCACGAATGCTATCGGCCTGCAGAAACAGTGTTAGCATTTTGTATACAGCCTGGTTAGATTACAACACGATTAGATCTGTGTGCCGAGCGTAGATCATGTGGTCATTCTCCTATGCCGGGCCATCACTGTGACTGAAATTTTGTACGGAGTCAAGACCTATCACCATAGAAAACTCGCACCATCATACCTTGAAATTCACTTACAGAAACTCGCGTCTTGGTGATGTGTTTCGCTGAGTCTGCTGTGTGGTTTGACCACCTTCAAATGAACAATGGAACGGCTTGTTTGAAAGAGGAAGCTGATCGAGGTGTACTTCAGCAACCACATCAGCAAAAGTTTGATGATGGGGATAGCTATGATCTGCCGCTCTGCGTCGAGCTTTCAAGCTTCTTCTGCCTTGCGATCTGGCGGAGCAACTTGATTCGATCGCTTATCGATTTTGCTTTCGCAGCAAGACGTGCAGCTCGTTCGCTTTGAACAGCCGCTCTCTCCTCGTCGTGGCGTCTCTTGTGCTCTGCCTCTTCGGCGATGCGTTTCTCTCGTTCGGCCTTCGCCTCAGCTCGGCGCCTGTGCTCCTCTGCACGGAGTCTCTGCAGATCAGCTTGTCTCTCAGCACCTAGTCTTTTGGGCTCCTCGCGCACAGCTGCCCTTTGGACGCGATTTGCCTCTCGGACGCGATCTGCCTCCCCAACGAGGTTTGCCTCTCCGGCATGGGATTGCTTTTGCCGAGCAAGTCGAGCTTCCTGCGTTTTCCCTCGTACCTTCTGTTGACCTCTTTGACGCGTTCCACATTGCGAAGGCGCCATTGCCTTACTCGTTCGCGCTCGGCTTCCTTGTTTTCCTGGTAGTGTTTCCTCTGCCTCTCTCTAATTGCTTCTGCATTTTTAGCTCGATACTGCCTCTGTTGAGTACGAATTGCATCTGCATTTTCGGCTCGATAATTTTTCCGTTGAGCAAGGATATGTTCCCTGTTCTCTCGATGGTAGGTCTTGCTGAATTCTTTATAGGTCTCTGAATTCTGAGCACGCTTGACTTTGATGAGATCCTTGTTTCTTAGGTAGTACTTCTTCACGTACTCTCTGTGGGCTTCTGTTGCAGCCTCCATTTTCTTCTGATATTTTGATTTGTTCTTCTCTTCGAGTGCCAATATCGGTGTTCTTCCGGGCGCATCTGTTGAACTTTCTTCCGCAACACGATAGGCGGCATATGAGAAACGTCGAATGAACAGATGTTGCGAGTACGCGGAGGCGATCTGGATAGGATGAAGCACCGCCCGCCGAAAGCTACGCAGTATGGCAAACATGGTTAACGATCTCAAGTTCGACCACGGTTGTGGCCATAAAGAGCAAAAGCGAGAGATCCAGGACGGTATAGAAATGTGAATTGGTGTTTACAAAAAGGCGAGATAGTGTCAAACGAGGTGATAATCTGGGATTAAGCAAGGTCGTGCCAAGCCGGGACTTTTCAGCAGGAAACCGAAACATCTCTCCCACCTGATGAGCGCCTTCTTCGGCTCGAGTCAAGCAGCACCATGTTGTTGCACTGTATCTCATCATGTCCTGCGACATAGATGCAGTCAAATCTTCAGTGTTCACTTCAAAACTCAAACTTAACGCAGCTAGGTTTAGATGTGTCTTCTTGTTCTTCGCCAATGTGCATCCTTGGCAGACCTGACGCTATTTTATTCCCTGGTACAAATCCGTGGCGGCATCCATTGCGCTCCTGACTTCTGAATCCTTTGATCCTGTGCTACCTGACTATTATTTGTCGCAGTGTGTCTACAGTCCCTGGAGCCTTGTTTTCTACCGCACATCTCTCCGACGCAGTCAGACAAGCGTACATGAGCAGGTAGCCACATACGCACTGGTCAGCGGCAGTGTCACCGGACTGTCGACGACATGTTGACAGCTCCCCGAATCAACGGACGTTTCAGCCAGCTCCTGCTGCTGGTCGCGATACTCCTCATCCTTACCATAGTCTTCTACGCCAATGCCGACGCCATCCATGTTCCTGAGAGTGTCTCACTCAAGCCTCCGACAAAAGGTCGCCCACACCACCCCATCGATGACTTGATTGAAGAGGCGGATCGCCAACAAGATGCTTTGTTGCAAAGGGAGTCGCATACCCTGGCAGATGCAGTGCGCGCATATGAAGAAAGTAGAGGACGACGACCGCCGCCAGGTTTCGACGTCTGGTTCCATTTTGCCCAAGAGAACAATGCTCTGGTTATTGAAGACTTCTACGACCGCATATACCACGACTTGAATCCTTTCTGGGCTGTGCCTGCGCTGACCATCCGCCAACAAGCCGGCGACATCTTCCACCGCATCAGTATCCGTAATGGCAATACCTCGCAGCTCAGCGATCAACCGCGCGTCTGGCTGGACCTTTGGGAGAACTTGATTGGTACCATTGCACAACATCTACCCGACCTGGATATTCCTATCAATGTCATGGACGAATCGCGAGTCGTGGTACCCTGGGAGACAATAGACGAATACATGACTGCAGGAGAGAAATACCGGCGCATTGTTCCTGCTTCCGAGGTTGTCCGTGAATTTGGCAAGACATCAGTCGGGAAAGATGAAGAAGTGCCACAATTTGACCCTCAGTGGGAAGGCGGACCATACTGGGATCGCGCCGTCATCGGGTGTCATCCTGAATCTCCCGCTCGCTCATACCAGGCAGAAGCGGATTATACCGTCTTTCCACCTTTGAACAACTCGTATCCGGAGAAGAGTCATGAAGGTTATGTTGCAAACTGGACCTACGTCAAGCAACCTTGTGAACACCCTCAATTGCAGGGTCTTCACGGCACCTTTGTTGAGCCCATCTCAATCTCAAATTCGAGAAAGCTCATGCCGCTATTCGGAGGCTCAAAGTTACCCATGAACAATGAGATTCTGCTGCCGCCAGCAATGTACTGGACAGACGATCCATTCTACTCTGGAGGCGAGGAGCACGGAGTGGAGTGGGACAAGAAAAAGAACAAGATCATTTGGCGCGGTGCAGCTTCGGGTGGTCGCAATAAGGACACTACTTGGGCTCGATTCCAGCGCCATCGCTTCGTGTCCATGGTCAACAGTACCAGCATTGATCATGCTGAACAGACTGGCAAACAGCCCAACTTCGAGATCCCCGAGTCTGGCCAATACGATCTACCTTCTGGGTCTCTTGCCAAGTGGGTTGGAGAATGGNGGGATGCAGCATTTGTACATCTACTCTGCTTCCCCGACACAAGACCACCGTTCTGTGATTACGACGATGCCTTTTACGAGGTCAAGCCACCCATGCCCATGGGAGAACAGTACAACTACAAGTATCTGCCCGATATTGACGGTAACTCATTCTCTGGCCGTTACCGCGGATTCCTGGGTTCAACATCATTACCTATCAAAGCGACCATCTACGACGAGTGGCACGATTCGCGAATGATGGCCTGGAAGCATTTCGTACCTATGGATAACACGTTTGTCGATATCTACGGCATCATGCATTACTTTTTGGGCGGTCGCGATGCAGCAGCCAAGAAGATTGCGCTCGAGGGCAAGCAGTGGACCGAGACTGTGCTCCGACGAGAAGACATGCAAATCTATGTCTTCAGGTTACTGCTGGAGTATGCCAGGCTATGCGATGACAATCGCGAGAAGCTTGGATGGGTCAGTGAGACGGAGAAACTGTTGCTGGCCGACGTAGACACGGCTGGCGCAGAGTAATCCATATTTCAGATGAGTAATGACAATTTAATGTATTCATTGAACATATTGCATACAATTGTATTCTTCGATCGTGCCTGCCATTTGTTGTAGATAAATTTTGGGTTTTGAGCATGACTCACTTTGCCAAGACAGGCGGGGGCCGGAAGGAGCTGGGTCGGTCTTTACTGTTTCGGAACCAAAAAGTGTTTTCGACTCATCTTCAATCATTCCCAGCACAGAGTGCATGCGCGCGTTCCAAGTACAGAGAGCAACTTCTTTCCTTGGTTATCCCTCTTCTCACAAGACTCCATTCGCTCGGCTCGGATTCCAACAACTCTGGTCGCGCACGAGACCCTTCTCAAACTTTCAAGTTCCAACCCACAAAGGCGTCACCATGGAGCAACTCACTGCTTCGATCAAGACTCTGGGCCTCGATGAGGTGCCTCAGCTCTCCAACTTGGCCACCTTCCCTACCTACAACCAGGTCGACATCTACCGTGCACACGTCGCCGAACTGCTCGCTCCCATCACTGGCGTCGCTGCTGAGCAGATCTACCCTGTGCTGCAATGGACCCAGGTCCTGGACTACGGTGACTTTATGCTGCCCGTTCCCGCTCTGCGCATCAAGGGTAAGAAGCCTGATGCTCTTGCCCAGGAGATCAAGGAAAAGGTACCACTCCAGCCAGCAACGCTCTCAGCACACTGCTAACATGATGTACAGTTCCCCGAATCACCACTCGTCCTCCCTCCCGTCGCCGAAAAGACCTTTGTCCGCTTCTTCTTCAAGCCCGACCCTCTCGCCAAGCTCGTCCTTCCCTCGATCCTCAAGAACACCACAAAGTACGGTTTCAACCCCAACCTCGGTCTCCAGGACCCCAGGGACCCCAGTTCGGAGAAGAAGAAGATGATTATCGAATTCTCATCACCCAACATCGCCAAGCCCTTCCACGCCGGTCATTTGCGCTCAACTATCATTGGAGGTTTCTTGAGCAACCTATACCAGGCTGCTGGATGGGACGTTGTCCGCATGAACTACCTCGGTGACTGGGGTAAGCAGTACGGTGTTTTGGCCATTGGTTTCGAGAAGTTCGGAAGCGACGAGGCTCTCGAGGCCAACCCCATTGGTCACCTTTACGAGGTCTACGTCAAGGTCAGCGCCATTGCACACGACGAGGCTGAGCAGGTCAAGGCCCTCAAGGCCAAGATTGTCGAGCTTGAGGGCAAGAACGAGTCGGTCGTTGAGCAACAAACCGAAGTTGAGCGCATCGAGAAGGAGGGTATTGACCAACAAGCTCGTGACTACTTCAAGCGCATGGCCGATGGTGAGAAGGACGCTTTGGGCATCTGGGCCCGTTTCCGCGATCTCTCGATTGTCAAGTACAAGCAGACATACGCTCGCCTGAACATCTTCTACGACGACTACTCTGGTGAGTCGCAGGTCAAGAACGAGAGTATGGAGGCTGCTGCCAAGGTTCTGGCCGACAAGAAGATCAGTGAGCAGAGCGAGGGCGCTGTCCTCGTAGACTTGACCAAGTACCAGAAGAAGCTCGGCAAGGCTCTGGTCAAGAAGAGAGACGGCACAACCCTCTACCTCACTCGTGATATCGGTGCCGCTGTTGAGCGTGACCAAAAGTACCACTTTGACAAGATGATCTACGTTGTCGCCTCGCAGCAAGACTTGCACTTGGCTCAACTTTTCAAGATTCTCGAAGTCATGGGTGACGAGTACGCAGAGGTTGCCAAANAGTGCCAGCACATCAACTTTGGTATGGTTTTGGGTATGTCTACTCGCAAGGGTACTGCCAAGTTCCTTGACGACATTCTCCGTGATGTTGGTGAGAAGATGCACGATGTCATGAGAAGCAACGAGGGCAAGTACGTTCAGGTCGAGAACCCCGAGCAAACAGCCGACACTCTCGGTATCTCAGCCGTCATGGTTCAAGACATGAGCGGCAAGCGTATCAACAATTACGAATTCGACATCAACCGCATGACATCGTTCGAGGGAGACACCGGCCCTTACCTCCAATACGCACACGCCCGTCTCTGCTCGATTGCTCGCAAAGCGGAATTCACACCCGAACAGCTCGCAACCGCTGACTGGTCGTTGCTGACTGAGAAGCACGCCGTGGACGTTATCCGCTCGCTGGCACAATGGCCCGACACCTTCACCAACACAATCAAGACACAAGAACCTGTTACTGTCTTGACATACCTGTTCAAGATGACACACATGTTGAGCAGTTCTTACGAGCAGTTGAATGTCATGAAGGCTGAGCCCGAGGTCAAGAAGGCTCGTGCAGCACTTTACGAGTGTGCTCGCCAGGTCCTGTACAACGGTATGAGACTGCTGGGTTTGAACCCTGTTGAGCGTATGTAAAAGGGAGTCGACAAGGATTCAAGAGGCGCAATGGGACATGGTTAGATGTTGATACCTGCATGGCGCATGGGACGAAAAGAGACGATGGACTTTTTAGATTATGCGAAAGATGAACGATAACAAAATTTGTACAGACAAACGAGTCAAGCTACCGAGTGAGGTTGAGGTCAATCAAGGTTTCTTGGTTGACAGCGGTGCAAGACCCTGAAAAGTGGGCGGTTGCCGTGGGGAAGTTGGTGTTGATCGACAGAGACGCAGACGCAGACGCAGCCGACCACTTCCCAGCCATCGCATTTACCAGCCATGTCCATCTGACCACAAACAGGCGAACTCGTGTTCTCTTTCTCTCTCCTTTGCGCCTTTTCCTCACCCAAACTCTTTTTCACAACGTCTATCTCCAAAACTTCCAACACTTCATCGCGCCGTTGCAATCCCTCTATCGATACCATCAACCTTCCCCACATTTCTGTATACGAACTCTCAAAACCACATCCCACGCTTGACGCAAGACGCGAGCTCCGGCTGCAGGAGCCTCAGCAAATATGGCACCCATCAACCCATCTCACCACCTCATCGCCCGCGCACCCGCACCACCCGTCCCCTGCGCCGGCTGTCTCGACCCGTCCAAAGTAAACAACAAAGTCTACTTTTCGCTCTTCGCCCTCATCTTTGCCGCCATCGTCGTAGCATCCATCTGGTTCTTTTTCCACGCCAAACATGGAGGATTCCACTGGCAGCAAGGCGACTTTGACGACTGGAAGTCTACGGTTCTGCGCAAAAAGGACGCCAATGGGAATACCATTTACTCTGCGCGATCGGTGGTTTCTAGACCCAGGAAGAGTGATAGGATTGCTGCTAAGAGCGTCGTGGGTTATGACGAAAAAGGCAGAAAGGGTGTTATGGCTGTCAGAGGTTTTGGAGGTTCTCATTCGGTGTACTATTCAGATGGATTCACGCAATACAGTGGTGATCGCAGTGACGCCATGACTAGCATCTCTCGCAACGAGAAGAAAGCACCGAGAATCAGAGGCGGATATACTCAAGCACCCACTACAACCGACCACTCACGTCGCTACTGCGACCGCGACTTGCGCGACTACAAGCACGAGAAGCCCGCAAGAGTGGGTGGCATGAATAGATCTGCAGACGGCACTACCTACGATTACACAGACCGCAGCGACACCGCCACCGAGATGACAGAAACCTCTTCGCACGCACCTATCCTCAGTTCCCACGACCGCAAACGCCAAAAAGCAGAAAAGAGAGCTGCAGAAGACGCCGCTCGCATGGAAAGGAAATGGCGCAAAGAAGCCGAAGCTGCTGCTGCTGCATTGGCTAGAGAAAGTGCTGCTCCTTCTACTCCCAAGAAGTCCTCACCACCGCAAAAAGCACAGACGCCAAAGAGTGCAAAGAGAGGTGCGAGTAGAAGTCGTTCCAGCAGTCCGAAAAAGCAGGCACCGAGACAAAGAGATTACTCCTTCTCGGGTGCGCCGGATGAGAGCAGTACAGTGTACACAGGCACCTACACGACCACTTCTGGCACCCGCACGAACAGCAGTTATTATGATGCTTATCGCCCCCTTGCCGCCACTTCGCCTGCTCAGCCATCGCCTGATCGTCGCGAGCAGAGAAGAGAGCGCAGGCCTTCCTCCTCATCACCTTCCAAGCAACACAGAAGCAGCAGATATACCTATGCGGAGAACGATGTCACGGGCAGCGCAGGTCCAAGCGGTGGTAGATATGAAAGAGTAAGGGGAGGCGACAAGAAAAGCAAAGGAAGAGATGTGATGGCTGGATACCGCAGGGGGATGGATAGTTTGGGGAGTGACAGCGATTAAGAAGACATTTGGGGGGGACATGAAGCGAGGGCGAATGCAACAATGGATAAGAGGGATGAAACGAGAGATAGTTAATGGAAGAATGAGAATGGAGGCTACGACAGATGTGATTCATAGGGATCACGAACGACAGCCAGACACAAGACGAGATTGAACCAGAGGAGACAGCAACATGAAAGGACGTGACATGTACAGACAAGACACGAACACGGCACTAACCAACGCAACTCAACACAGCGAGTCTCTCTTCCTTACTTCTCGTAACTCTCTTCCATACAATCATTCTGTCTTCCCTGTGAAAGTCATTCGAAACTCAGCAAATGTAGAGTAGAGTACTCGCATTGTGGCAAAGTCTTTTGCAAAGACACAAATTCTCTTTTGTCAAAGGCTATTCCTTTCTCTCTTCGGCCTTTTCCTTGCCAGAGCTGTCATCCATACAAATACATCGAAAACTAACGTTATCCTGGTGATCGAAAGCGGGGTCTTGATGAAACATCTGTCATGAAAATTTATCTATATCTATATCTATCCAATCCAGCCTGGCTCGATCATATCTATAAAAAGTCTAAAAAGGGGGTATACATATTAGAAGAATAAACAAAACGCCAGAAACCCCCGAAAAACACAATATGCAAAAAAAAAAAAAAAACCTCAAGCACTCTTCGTCTTTCTACCCCTGACTCTGGTAAACCAAGTGATGAAATAGATCAACGCGACATTGGACACCAAAGCAAACACTAGGAAAACACCCCAATCCCTCCAGCGCTGAGAGTAATAATAGTCCATGGTGGCCGCATACTCTGAGCCTCGGGAGTAGGGACAATATCCGCAGTCGTGCGTTGCCTCGGGGTTGACTAGGTATCCAGTGCTACGAGAAAGATAGTCGGCAGCATATACCGCACAGGTCTGTCCGGCAGGGGGATCGAAAAGGGCAAGGTCGTTGGCAGAGCAGTGTACGGGAACGGGGTTGAGCAGGTTACTCACGCTGCCGCCGAAAAACCAGCGGAAAGGGTCGAGCCAGTACAGCCAGTTGCGGTAAAAGTCGTTGAGTGCGGCGTGAGGGATCAGAGTGCCGTTGAAGATCATGAGGATGTTCCAGAAGAGAGCTGATGCCAAGCCGCAGGTTTGCATGTTCGTGAACATGGTGGCTAGAAGCTGGTTCCAGGTCAGAGCGAAGATGCCGCAGGTGATGAATTGCAGGTATTCGTAGCCTGCGATGGTCGTTTCGTTGGTGTAGCCTACGGTCCAGTACATGCAAAAGTAAATCAGAGTGAAGCCGACGAGCATGTAAGGCACTTCGACAGAAATCATGGCGGTAGTCAGAGCCTTCCATGAATAGATGCCGTTTCGCTCGCGTGCTTCAAAGGTTGCCCACTTACTGAACCACATGGACTGGAGATCAGGAGCAACGGCAGGAATGATTTGAACAATGATGAGAAGGTTGAGGACGTTGTTCTGCAAGCCTTGGATATCCGTCTTGACCATAAAGTAAGTGAATGAGATGAACAATTCACACCATAGAAACTTGAAGAAGCGACTGAAGTTGTAGCTGCCATCGCGCCAGACGGAGATCCAGTGGCGCTTGGTGACAGCCTTGATCTGAGGCCAGATAGGCATAGCGAACTGACCGGTGCTGGAAGAAGTTGACTGGCCCGCGATTGATGTCTTTTCATTGATCATCTGGATGTTCTGCAAGACACGTGCCTTTTCGGGAGATTGAAGCCAGTTGTCGTGCCAGACAGCAGAGTTGTCGGCGCCAGAGACGGTGGAAATGATGAATTCGGCAGGGTTCTCAGACTCGTTCATGTGCGCGCCATAGCGATCAAAGTATTCGACCACCTTTGCAGAGTTCTTGCCAGTCTCTCCAAAGTAGATGGTACGGCCACCAGGTGCAAGGAGCAGAACATGGTCAAACATCTCAAACAGCACACCAGAAGGTTGATGAATTGTGCAGATGATGGGAATGCCTTCGCGAGCGATACGCTGAAGGAAGAAAACGATACTGTAGGCGGCTTGTGAATCGAGACCACTGGTAGGTTCGTCCTATGAGCAGATGTCAGTATAACGAACGTACAAGCACCATTGTTTGTCTAGACTTACCAGGAATAGAAGGTGAGGAGGCTTAGCAGCGAGTTCTACGGCAATGGTGACGCGCTTACGCTCCTCTACTCCGAGACCACCCTCACCGGGTGTACCGATCAGAGCATCAGCGATAGGACCGAGCTCGAGAAGCTTGATAATGTACTCGCAATACTCCATCTTCTCAGCATAAGGGACATCAGCAGGTTGGCGGAGCTCGGCCGAGAATTGCAAGGCTTCTCTGACGGTGGAGAACGGTTCGTGGACATCTTGCTGCATGGCAAAACCGCAGGATCTTCCGAAAGTAGCATCTAGAGGTTGGCCGTTGAGTCTCATTGCACCTTCGACGCGTCCCTCGCTCTTTCTTTGACTGATGGTATCCAAAAGGGTTGTCTTACCGGCTCCTGAGGCTCCCATTAGAGCTGTGAGCTGACCTGGGCGAGCATACGCAGAAACATTCTGCAGAAGCTGCTTCTCGCCATCTGCCACGTTCACGTAATAGTTCACATTCTCGAAGGTGAATGACGATCCATTGGTGTCAGACTTTGCGCAGTCACTACCATTGTCATCGATACGTGTGGTCGAGGAGGCAGAAGAGACAGGGTTCAGAGTCAGGTCATGAACAGTACGGCTGGGCTGTTTCTCGAGATCCTGCTCACCGATGGTCATTCCGCTGGAGTTGGCAGTAGTGCTCGGCATGGTCTCAATTTGAGCTCCACGCTTGAACACATGGCCGCTAGCGCCGCCCTGCTCGCGAGCAGTGTAGGCAAGACCGACGGCTGCAATGATGGTATAGATGACCCACATGGCGATGAGGATACCAAAGTTTCTCCAGAGGTGAGTCCTGGACATGTCGTATGTCAAGGAGAGGTAGGTCGAACCAGGCACATCGGGACTACCTTTGACACTGCCGGGAAGCGTGCAGCCCTGGTTAGCGAGATTATCGTATCCAGGACCACTGGGGACCATCTGAGCGTCGGTACAAGAAAGCGTGATGTCGTAGAACTCATTTGACATTAAAGCCTCTAAAGCAAACTATATTGGGTAAGTCAGTGATGTTCTCAAAAGTAATAGTTTGTCAAGAAAACTCACAGGCGAAGGTGAGATGCGCCGAATCCAGCTGCCCCACGCATGCAAGGTCGGCCAAGGGGGAGCGAACCCAGAGTAGGTAAGACAAGGAGGGATAGCGGCTCCAGCCATCAGAAGTGCGAGGTTGAGATTGGGAGCAATGGCACCAATCATGCGGAACAGAGCACTTGTAGCGCCATAGTGGACCCAGACGATGAGAGTGAAGATGAAGAATTGAGATGCCGTTTTGCCGAGGCCAAGCATGAAGTAGTAACAGCAGGAAAAGACCAGAGCTTGAAACAGTGAGATAGGGAGATCAGCCACGGTCTGAGCCAGAACGTATGCAGATGGATGAGAGAGACCGAGCTTCCTCTGTTTGACTATGATAGAACGCGAAAGAACAGTGGCGGGAGTCTCAGCGAGCGCGTTCAGAAAGAAGTAGATCAAGGAGAAGAAGATGGCACCACCACGCTCGTAAGAACCTGTTGCAGTTTTGGGAGCCATGTAAAAAGCAGAACCAGTAATGACAGCGTTCACAGCGTTCAGTAGTAGAAGGGTGTAGAGTGTGTTTCGATCGCCCCATGTGAGTTGGTAGTGTCGCTTGATTGCAGTAACAATCTGCTGAGGGAGTGAGTGTGGCTCCGCTGCCGTCTTCGAAACACCAGATGAACGAACGCGCTGGACTTCAGCCTTGAAGTCGTTAACATAGGCAGAGTTCGAAGTGTGCTCGGATCGATAGGCTGCAATGTCTTCCTGCAACTCGAGGTAGAATTCGCTGTCTCGGAAGACTTGCGCAAACTCATCGGGTGTTGATGGCACGGGACCAACATGATCACTGCGAACGGTTCTCTCAGTCACGGATGTGACGGCAGTCAGGAAATCAGGAGTAGTCTGTCTGGGTTCGCAGTGGTAGCCAAGATTGATAAAGTACTGGCGTGCGGCTGTCGTCCTGCCGGAGAATATCATTCTGCCGTGATATAGTACGAGCACACGGTCGAAGCATTGGTCGTAGATGGATTGTGAAGTTTGATACATGGTGACAATGTTGGCCATTCCGGTCTTTCTCGACATGTCCTTAAGCAGGCGACAGAAAGCAAGAGCTGATGAGGAGTCCAGGCCTCGAGATGGGTTATCAAAACATGCGACTGCTGGATTTGTCGTCAAAACCTCTGCCAGAGAGACGCGCTTGCGTTCACCACCAGATACACCTCTTACAAAAGAGTTTCCGACAATAGTGTTGATGGTGTGTGAAATTCCAAACTTGTCGAGAAGCTTTGATCGCATGTTTTGCTTAAATTCGGCCTTCGGTAGCTCATCCTTGGCTGGTTTGCGCAACTCCAAGGCATAATCGAGCGTGTTTCCAACAGACAGCTTTGGAAAATGGTTATCTTCCTCATTGTTGTAGATAATCTCTGACTTGTACAACTTCCTAGCCTCAGCAGAAGAGATAGTAGAGTAGGAAACCGAGCCGTCCACCCCAACGAAAGACTCGACATCACTAGCAATAGCACGCAGTGTCGTAGAACAGCCAGCTCCAGGTGTTCCCAGTACGAGCAAGGTCTCTCCAGGTCGGACAACTCCAGAGACATCCTGAATCAGATTGCGGACATTCTTGCGGCGATTTCCAGCAAAGAGTTTTACAGCCTGGTAGGGCAATGTGATGATGTTCTCCAGGACCTGGGCGAAATCTGTGACTGTGTTCTCCTCGGCTGCTACTCCAATAACGGTGATGTTTTCAAAGACAACACCAAGACGGCGACCGTCTGGTCTGTATACTGGTAGATCGTTGATCTGCGAATGATTAGTATTGCACACCTTGAAGTTCAGTGGGATGGAGATTGATCGCATACCTCTTTCTCAGCCATTGTGAAAAGCCTGGGCGTATGCTCCTAGGGATTGGCTTGGAAAACAGCGAGATGATGAAAATGCAGATGCGAATATTCATGTTTACAGGGGCTCACGGGCTATATATCTCAGACGGCAAAAAACTGCTTACTAGATGTTTCCGCACAATTATCAAGCACAGGTCCACCAGCCCGTTGAAAGCGTACGACAGACAGAACAGATGCCGAGTTGATGTCAAAGCCTGTTGGACTGTGATTGGCCACATCACCGAGCGGCTTCGGAAGCGTCCAAGCTTTTGTCTGGTTCTCGGATGTTGCAGCCAATTAGAACAGCCCGGCCGACATTTTCGTTCCCGAAGGCAATTCCGTGATGAATGTTCCATGATCTCGCCGAAGATGTTGACATGTCTTTGACAGATTTGCCATGTGCCGGTCTGGCCTTGACGCGGCCGTGTCCTGGAAGCCGCTCAATACCATGAGTTGTCTGAAATTGATGCGTCGGTTTGACGTTCGGTCCAGAGAGATGAACGAACAAGTACCGAGATGACATACTGCTATTCTTCGTCACACTTTCCTGTCCATACAGAAAGCTTCAAACCTGGCAGGTTCTCTCTGAGGTGTATGATGGTGATGGTGATCCTTCTATCATACTGTTATTCTTGTGAGTGCTGTACTAGAGCCAAATTACAATTGTTTTATTGCCATGGTATGTTGTGTCGGTATCATTAGGGGTGATGAGCATTCTGGTTTCGATCTCGATGATGCCTGCCTCACGCGACCGAGCCTCAGATTTTGGCCATACTGTGTCATGACTGAATGATGGTCGTCACCAGTGTTGATCATCAAGGTAGCCGCCTACACACAGAGTAGTATTGAAGTGAGTGCTGTGTTGTTGCCAAAGCGATTGACATGTGAAAGCGTCAAGCTCGCCGGACGGTTTCAAAGATCACGTCGACGGACCAATGGTCACCAACAGACGGACAACTGCAGCTTCTGAACCTCACTCAACATCTTCTCTAACTTTCCAGCAGTAACGTTCAGAGAGCAAGGCGAGACAAGGATGATGGGGTATTACTCTGACAGAGACAGGGTTGCTCAATGGCTGCAGAACGCGGAGAAGCAGCAGTCGCGGCAAGCTCCGAGGCGCTTCGCGACTGCCAGAAGGGCTACATCATTTCTAGCCACCAGCACACAACAAACCATGTCATCGGCGCAGCAGAATCCACTCAAGAGACGACGAGCTGCATCAACAGTCAGACGCACACATCATCTCACCCACATCCAACCACTGCCGGCAGCGACCGAGCCCGCCGCGCAAGATGAGGCTTTTGTCCAGGCCCAGCTGCTGCGCTCCATCTGCACCGCCTTGACCGTCGTCGGCTATGACACGGTCAAGCCCTCGGCTCTGGAAATGTTTCGCGCCGAAGTCGAAGAATNNGTGAGGAGCTGTTTCGAGTAAAGAAGCGCGCGCAGTTGGCTGATTCGTTGCGACCCAGACATGATGAACTTCCTCACAACCGTCAAGGATTCCATGATAGCTTCACGACGAACGACAGCCATCCCGCAAGATTTTATCTTCGCCCTCGCAGAAGCCGGTCTGGAATCACACCACCTCGATCCGCACCTGAACTTGCGCCTCCCGGACGACATTGCCAATCCTGCCATTCCACCTCCACGACCAAATGAAGCTCCTCCACCTGACCTGGCACCCATGCTCGGACAAGAGCTGGCCACACCTGCGACACAACAGTACGGATACATACCTTCACACTTTCCTCCGCTACCGAGTCGTCACGCCTGGCAGAGTACTGCCCTCTTTACACAGAGAGAGCAAGACCCTCGACGCATTCGCGAGCGCGCCACAGATGAAGGCGTCCAAGCTGAACATGCCTTGCGTAAGCTCACCACTGCCAACAAAGCCCGCCTCCGCCAGCCAACTGTCGACAAGGCTAAGGACAAGCTATGGAAAGACACCATCTCAGACCTGCTGGATGACGATGACGATCCTCTCCCAACGGGGCAGGACGCAGACGGAGATATCAGGTTGAATGGATGCCTAAAAGATCATAACAGTGACAAGACGTCCAGCATGGCTGACCTGATACGTGGGGGTGGCGCATTGATGGTCAACCATGACCGCAATCATTGGCGTAGAGGGAGGGGTTCTGTGCATATCTGATTGATCAAAATCTGCATCTTTAGCGAGGCGTTCTTCTCTTTTTTTTCTTCTGGGCATTGGTACTTTTGGCTGGCTGGCGTCGGGACATGGCATGGACTTGAGCAAAATGACCGAGGCAGTCGTGAGATACCCCAAGAATCATTAAAACGGCTGCTGAGCATTCTATAATTTGTTTGTGCCTCTCAATTTGAACACTTCGAGCAACTGTTTCCCTTTCAAATGTGCATGTGATGAGCTCCTTGCCGTTCGGCAACAATGAAGAAAAAAAAAGAAAAAAAGAAAGAAAAAACTCTCCCAGTGACGCCCGCCGCTCGAACTCCATAGCGCCATCATCGTCCAAACGCAATCAACTCACCCTCCACTACGCATCAAACATCCATCTCCCAAGCCGTCGTCTCAACTGTGAGACCGTCTTTACACCTNAAATTTTCCTCTTTTCGTCAGCGCTATTCTCGGCAACTCTTTCTCCATCTCTGCTTCTTCCCCCTCGGGCAAACTCACCTTCTAAACACCCTCTGGATAGGCTCACACACCACTATCCCATTCTTGTGTTTCTTGTGTTGCACCACATTGCAATCGAATTGCATAATCTCCATCAACTTGCACTGCTGCAATTCTTGCTGGTTGGAGGGTTTGCGGGTCTTGCCAGTAGGGAGAGATTTTGTTGCAGTTTCGAGTGAAGCGGGGTGGAAGGGCGTTATTGCTGGTGCCATCGTTGTGGATTGTGCANNAGGCAGGCAAGGAGGTTTTGAGTGATTGGTGAGTTCTTCTTTTACAGAGACAAGAGGAAAGAGAGTTTGTGTTGATNNGGTTGCAAAGAGAGGTTTTGGTAGTTATGTCTGCTGAAGATCTGGGGACGAGGGAGCTGGGGCAGGTGAGAAGCCAGAGGTTGGATGAGGTGAGTGTTTTTGTCCTTTTTTCTGTTTTTGTTGCATCACCACCACGGTTGTTGTTTTTGTGCTTCCTGCATTATTCTTGATCCTTGTGTAAGAAGGTATGGATTGCACCAAGAGGAAAAATCACGTCCTCATTGTCACATTGTACTTTCATCAAGCCCACAAGTATTCCCTCTTTGGACCATCATCATCAATCTCTCTTTCGACTTGTCCTTTACTCACGTTGTACAAGCTCCTAACCACTCTCCGACTACTACATAACCCATCCTCAAATTCAAGAGTCGGTGTACCTGCGTTGGACAGACTGCTTGCGAACCACACTACACGTTTCGACCCTACAAATCTTTCTGCCATACCTGCACCTCCAATCATTGAGATTACCAGTCCTGGTTCCAAGTCTGGCAAAACCGAGCTTTTATACTGGATAATCGCGAATCTGGTATTGGGAAATAATGGACCAACTCCACTAAACCAGGCAATCGAGTCCGTGGAAGATGATTCGACTGAGCAACAAGATCATGCCAACAACACTGCATTCACAGACCCAGAATCTGGTGGAGAAGACGACACAGGCCTCAACCCCACGGAACAGGCACAACACCCAAACACTCACATCCCGGCAACATCAAAAGAACCCCACCACACCGCACCAACAGCAATAGCCCTCCTCTCCAGTACCCCCATCTCCATACCCCGACTCTCCCAAATTCTTCTCCACCACCTTCTCTCCAGATCACCCGACCTTTCCCTTTCCACCGCTCAACAAATCATCCACACTCACCTCTCTCACATCCACATCTTTTACCCTTCCACTCTATCCTCTCTAATCGCCACTGTATCCTCATTACCCACCTACTTCTTCTCCCCCACAAATCCCAGTGTCTCCAACAGAATAGGAGGCATATTCATCTCCACCCCCAGCACCTATTTCTGGGACGACAAAGCTTGTTGCTCTTCCACCTCAGCAAGTCCACCTGCAGTATCAAAATATCCAGCTCTGGCTTCTTGTCTAAAACGCGTGGGACTCACTCTCCAAACCCCCGTTTTCTATACTACACAGCATTTCTCCGCTGGTGCTGGTGCTGGGGAAGATACGACATCGTTACGGCCACAATTGCCTTTACCCTCATCTCTGCGGTTGACAGTGAGCAGACCTGGAATCAAAGGGTTCGGCAAGGAGATCGATGCAGACACGGCTACAAAGCAGCAAGAAGCTAGAAATAAAGCTGTCGCGGCAGCTGGGTTTAAAGTCAGTGTTAATCAATGGGGTGATGAGGGATGGACGCACAGAAACAGTGGGGCCAACGCAGGGTTTGAATTGAGAATCGACAAGGTGGGCGTGCGAGTGCTATAAAAGCTCTTCTCGCCACAGAAAAACAAAGATAAAACACCATCAAAGAAGATTTGAATTGTGGGAATTAGAAAACAAAAGACTTGTCCAAGAGAACTCGCTGAAGAAAACCAAATGCCACCCAATTTTGTGAAAGAGAAAACTGACATCTACAAACGTCCAGCGCAAGATAATGATGCTTTGGTGTTTTCATTGCGCCGGAACCATGAAAAAAAGAAGAAGAAGAAGAGAGAAGCAAAAGGGGAAATTCCGGCGATTCGTGGAAGCTTGAGATATCGGGCGTGAGAAAGAGAAACGGAAAAAAAGAAGAAAAAGGAGGTGCAATGACATGCAACATAAAGTAAACATTTATGAAGGTCGTGAGAGAAGGGTTTCGAAAGCAAATAAACCAAGTCAAAGATCAAAACATCAAGCCTCGTGCTCATCCCCGAAAGGACTCTGGCCACGAGGAACCTGCTGCGCCAATTGCTTGCTTAGCCTTCGTGCCGCTAGGCTTCCCCTCATACTGGCCGTCTCTTCAATGACAGCCGACAGCCCTCCTGGCGTACGTTTGTTCGCCGGCGGAGGAGAAATAGACGCAGCATCTGAGAATGGCGATGCATCGATTTCATCATCTGGAGTTGTTGCTGCAGAGTTCGCTAGCGGAGAGGATACATTGGGCTTTGTTTGCGAGGGAGAAGAGTCGGATGAAGAGACAGGGAAACGGCCTTTCTTTGCTTTGGAGCCGCCTACGGTGAGTAGAGTGGGTTTGCCATAGCTGGCACTGCTGAGGGTTTGTTGTGATGAGGACGAGTTCGAGGAACCGGGGCGGATGGTATCGCTGGAGGAGGGCATGACAATGTTTAGTTTTCTGCCGCTGGCGCTGCGGTTCAGAGGGTTCGCGAGTTCTTCGGCGGGAGTGGTTTGAAGTGGCGTTGAGGTGGGTGTGCCGCTGTTTCCGCTCTTTACACTGACAACATTTGCTTTTCCACGCAGCACGGTTTGAGCAGGCATGGGGTTTGCCACGGCATCGTCGCGGTAGGAGGCTATACTGCTACGGGCCAGCGAGGGTGTAATGCTGGGGCGGCCAAAGAAGGTGCTGCGGTTGTCCAACGACGAAGAATCCGAGTATGTCGAGTCGCGAAGGTCGGCAGGGCTAAAGAATAGAGCTTCGCCATCGGACGAGCGACCACTGACAGGAGGACCGTGAGCAGCAGGAATCGGCGGGACTGGAGGAACGTGTTCTTGGTTTCCGTTTCTGTTCATGACGCCGGGAATGTAGGCGATGGGGATGAAGTTGGAAGCGCGGCTGAGGATGCTGTTGGCGACCGAGTGCACCGTGTGCACCGATGCGCGTTCTGACCTCTGCATGTTGAAGTTGGACTTGCGATTCTCGGCTTGGTCCTCCTCTTCCCATTCTTCTTCCAGTTTTACACGGCGTGGTCGTATCACATACCAGTAAAAGGCGAAGACGATGAGGCCGACGAAGAAGACGCCGCCAATTACACCTCCGGCAATAGCACCGACATTGGGACCCGAGTGGTGTGACGGGGCATCGTTCGAGACGACGCAAGTTGTGTATGCGCAAGTGTCGCAAGATTGGGGCACGAGTGAGCAGACCTTGCCTCCGGGGCACGAGGGGCAGGAAGGTGTGGTTCCGGGACAGTCGACGCAGTTGCGCTTAAACAGGCTATGCATTGCCTGGACCACATGGGGATGCACTGATAGCAGAATGTTAGTATGGTGCATCTTGTGTTGAAGTATATCAGAGAACAGGAGCCGCACCGTTGGATAAGGAGGATTCCATGGTTGATTTCTTTGTTGCGTCGTCGGGAGATGTCGAGGTGGAGGCGGCGTCGCAATCTCGCAGGAGCAAGACAAAGGCGACTGCTTTGTTTCTCTTGTCCTGCTGTGCTTTGTTGGTAGTAATTAATCAGAGAGGTTGGGTCGTGCGACGAGGCCGGGTGGATGCAGATGGCAAGGGAGAGGAGCACCGCTTTTCAACGGCCGGCGCGAGCAAGAGGGGGAAGGGGAAAACAGACGGTCGTGAACGAGTGAATGGAGAAGTATAATAAACGACCTGCGCTGCTAGAATAGAAACAAGAAGGAAAAGCGAGAGACGAGAAGAAAGACAGCAGCGGGAGAAAACGAGTGCGAGTGCTGTGAGTTAATACAAGGTTGTTATTAGTGCGGATAGTGGCAGCAGCGAAATTGCGTGTCGCGTTGAAGATCGCAGTGGTTGCGCAAAAAGACGGACGGTGAACGGTCGTCGAGACAGGGGAGTTTGGAGAAGCTCCTGCATCCTTTGCGGGCCAAGCAGACCCACACGGCCTCGTGTCTCGCCCACGGCTACCATGCCTCAATCAGTCTAGTCTGTTACTCTGTCTGCGACCGCATGCCCTTGCGCCACAACAATCCATCACCACTGCAGTCAAGCCACCAACAAGACTGAACATCAACTCCAAACATTTGTCTCTATAGACCCCACCTTGTTCAGCAAGCAAGCATCGGGTAAAGACTCGGAGAAAGAGAAAAAATATGCCATCACAACCACAAAACCCCTCCGACCTCTACGCTCAACTAGCCGCCAAAGACAACGCCCCAGAACCACTGAAAAAAGTCCTCGCCAGAGAACAAGCAAACTATGATTGTTTGAGTTGTCGAGTAATGGGTGTGTTCCACCTACTTACCACTATTCCTGGATACTAATGTGCAAGTACAGGAGCAACAGCATTTACAGCTCTGGGCGCCTATACCTACTGGTCCGGTCACCGCGAGCTCTCCTCCCGGCAGCAAGAGATTCTTCGTTCGGGTTCAAGACTCACAATGTCTGCTCGACGTTTTGGTATTACTGGGTTGAGTGGTATGTTGGTGGGATTGGGGGTTTGGAGGGCGTTTATGTGAACATCATTTGTTTCAATTGATGTACAATTGAAAAGTGGAAAAAGGTTCTGCAGGTGGTAAAAGGGAGGGAAATAAGTATTGAATGCTTTGCAACGGGATCTTGCAGGAAGACAGAAAACACAGCAGCAAGGCTGTCAGACAGCCTTGTGTCTCTGCATTGTTGAGTATGCATGCAATTGCCCACATCTTTGTCGGAAGCACTGCACGAAGACGGAAGAATCGGCAAGACAGAAGTAACTGCAAAACTGATGGATAGTCAGTGTTCAAGGGGTATACTGGTGTAAATGCCGCAGCAAACCAAAATCATTGTATATGGTTGATGAGAAGAAGAAAAGAAACGTTCCAAAAGGCATGCCAAACCACCCATGCTCAACACGCATGTCGAAGAACATCAGCAGACACCACATTCGGTATGCCACAATACAAGAATCAAAAAAGAACAAGAAAAGACATGCAGCTGAGTCATCCCCTATGCAATAAAACCGCGATGAATGCAAAGAACAAAAAGGACAGAGATACTAGACTAAAACTTATGTTCGTAACTCATTGCTTGCTTCCTCTCCCGGCAGGAACAAAGGAAAATGAACGATTCAATAAAAACACAACTGTCTTGGGGGTATTTGGGTATGTTGTTGTAATGCAGAAAAGACGAAAAATGAAGGGATATTCAGAAATGCGGGCCAAACAACTCAAACATGTCTCCCTCGCTTTCCTCCTCGATCAGATCCATCTCTGCCATTGTTCCCAAACGAGAGGCCCGAGATGTCGAAAAAGTCTCCCAGGTTCTTGCGCTTGGAGCCGGCGCCTGAGCCTAGAGAGCCAAGGTTTATGGATGTGATTCTGTTGGTATTGGTATTGTTGTTGGAGCGGTTGTGGTTGTTTCGTCGTCTGGAATGGACTTCCAGTCTGAGTGGATTGTTGGATGTTGATGGATTGGGAGAGTCGATGGGTGGGTTGTTGGAGGCATCCATGTCTACTTCTCGGTCGTGGTGTGGAGGGGGNTACGCCAGGGACGAGCGAAAGGTGAAAGCATCTNNGCTTGAGGGACGACAGCGTCTGGGCGAGTCACTTGTGGTTGGTGTTCTTGTGGCTGATGGGNNTAATGCTGGGTTCGGGTTGTGGTTGTTCGTTTGTCGCTTGAGGAGTAGTGGTGGGTTTCCTGGCAACTTCGGGGCTGGAGCTGCGCGGTTGCTCTTCCTGCTCTTCCTCTTCATCATCGCTTTCGCGTCCNNGGCTGAAGGGGCTCCATCAAAGCGTTCGGTGGCCCATTGCCTCACCCGCCAACCCTCGCCGTCACCGAGACCAAGATTTTCCTTGTCGAGAAAAGACAGTAGATCGTCCAAGGCATCCTGGTAGCCGGCAGCGCGTGATCTTGCCTGCTCGGATGCAGCGTTCTTATAGAGGTTTGTGACGGAGAGAGCGGCGGCTTTGAAGGCAGAGAGGAGTTCTTCCGGNGGTTGTTGGTTGCGACGGGGCGACGTGCGAGGCAGCGATGTGTTGAGGCTACGCATCGAGTCCATGGTCGCTGGTTCTGTCAGAAAGACAAGTGCGGGTTGTGTGCAGTCGGTGGTAGTACAGGTCGATGGTCTTGACTCTTGGGTGATGCTGCCGGGTCGATGTGATGACTGAAGAAAGAGGATTTAGGCGGGGTCTGGCCCGACTTTGCTGCTGCTTGGAGGGGTTTGCACCGAATTTCTCTCTGACGTATATCACATCCAACACACCAGGAGAGGACGATGCAATGAGAGTCGTCAAACGAGTACAGAGCTTTCTTGAGAAATCCAGAATCAAGTCTTTTCAGCAACGGTCCTCATGATTCTCTTTCTTTGTTCACCATCGAGGCCCAAGGAAGTCAGTCACAAGTGGCGCGTGCGCTCATGCATTGTTATACCCCCGACTTTGGCATGTGAACGCCCATGCATATCTATGCACCTTTATTCACAATCCATCGAGAAACCCACAAACCGCCTCGATCACTTTCTCGGGCTGCTCCTGCTGAACCCAGTGTCCTGCATTTGGAATGAATGTGACTCCCCGAAAGTCCGAACAGCTCTCTTTGTACCCATCCAGCGCCCCAGGCTGCTGATAATTACCCCAGTCCTTCTCACCACTTATGAATGCACACGGCACCTCAATTTTTCTACCTGCGAACAACAGCATGTCCGCCTTTTGAATCTGTGACGAACTGGTCTGCGCTCTGTACCAATTCAGTCCACCTTGAAATCCTACACGCTGCCATTCCTGTACATAAACGCCTAGGTCCGAGTCTGGCAGCCATCCTGTTGTTGCAGAGCTATCTTCACTTCTCATCATGTCAGATATCGTCTCTGGCATGCTGGAACCNTTGGGCATGATGTAGTAGTGTGGCATTTTCTCCAGCTCAGCCGCTGTCCATGATTCCAATGGCTTCGGGTCGTTTCTCGGCCAGTCGGCTGACTTGACATGAAAGTAACCTCGAAGAAACTCGTGCAGTCCTTGCGACGCTGTCTCCCAGTCTGTCGACGCATTTGAAGTAGAACTATACCACTTGTAGTGTTTTCGTGGAGGGTCGAGCTTCGCAAGCTCTGCTTGTATATCTACTTTCGCAGTCGAGCCAGAGCCGGGGTTTGATACGGGCTCCGCTGAAGCCTTGACATCGAAAGACGGGGTTGGCGGTGCATGATGAGGATGCGACATCTGGATGCAGCTCTTGAAAATGTCGGGTCGCATGAGCGGTGCCATGGAACTCGATACAGCGCCAAAGTCGTGTCCAATATGGCAATGCACTTCCTTGTAACCCAACGCGTATACCAAGCAAACCAAATCTCGCACCAGATTAGTCATGGTGAATTGGTTCAAGTCAACTTCGTGGAATGGTCGTGTGTCCCAGCCAGTGGTTCTTCCGTATCCTCGCTGATCAGGTGCAACGACGTAGTATCCTCGCGCTGCCAGAGCTGGCATGATTTTTCGCCATGAAAAGGCTATCTCCGGGAAACCATGGGTCAATAGTATCAGAGGCTTGTCTTTCTGTCCGGCGGAAACGATATGGAACACTAGACCGCACGAGTCTGTGCAATCAATGTAGGATTCTTCGAGGCCTTCTGGCAGCGGTAATGGGTCGAGCGAAGTCATGGTGAAAGGCTGACAGCGACCATTTGGCTGTTTTGCTGAGGTTACTGTTCACGATCGAGTCGATGTTAGAAAGGAAGGTACGAACACAGCAGTCACGTCAAAGAGGAGTCGACAAGCTCCTGTTCTCCGCTTTACCGAGGTCGTTACAGTGCTCTTCGTGGGATTACTCGAAAAATCAGTAATCGACGTGGTTCGCCCAGGTTATATACGACTGGCACTGTCCTCGCGGTGTTTGATTAGTCCACCGGTATTGTCAATGTCCGGGTTGCTAAATCGCGAGGAGTGTACGATTCATGCGACAGCGGCCGGACTCGAGAGATGCAGTGTGTGAAGACGCATAGTCATCCCCTGGGACCCCACCTATCTTTATATGCCATACTCTTAGCATCATGATGGGCGTATCAGAGCTTCCTCGGAGGCACCTTTTTCCAAGATCAACCTGGCACGAGCGCGGCATATGGAGTACAGATCAACGTTGATCAGCAACCAAATCCCAGCACGGCGGTTGCAAGGTGTAACGACTGTCGAAGCTCCGTGTGGGTGCGACATGGAATATTGTGTCAACATATGGCCACGAAGCATCTCATGTTGTCTGTCGCATGTCTCGTGCTATTTCTTCTCTCTCTCAGACATCAAATTTCAGGGTTGACAAATTGGTCGAGGCTTCGGGGTCAGCCAAGACCAGATAGATCTACGGGTGAATGACGCGAACTACAAGCAATAGGATCGAAGACAACAGCCATGTCAAGGCGATATGGAAGCCAAGGACGGTGCCCTCATACACATTGTCGCATCTCGAGGGTGCAAACAAGGAAGTGCAAGACACAGCATTCCATCAATCAACCAAGTTGGTTGTCATGGCGCGTCACGGGTGGTTCAGCGGTAGGGCACGGACACGCTCGGCAGCGGGATCGTCATGGGCTTGAAGTTGCAAAAGCTTAAGAGATGGATGTCGAGACAAGGAGGAAAGGCATGTTGGAACGGTCGAACTGGGCCTGAGCCTGAGCCTGAGTCTTCACCTTCACCTTCGCTTCTCCTCGTCTTCTTCCCCTTTTGTCCTCGACGCCATATCCATCACGAGTATTCTTGTGCACCAGTACATCCGGCTCCTGCGACTCGCACAGTAGCCGCCGCCTCGTTCGCAGTAAACAGGATCAAGACTTCCCCAGGCAACGTCATGTTTGCTTTGTGACGCGCTGGAATTCTATCGCCCTTTGAACCATTGGAAGAGTCTCGTTACAAGTACCGTTATCCGTCTTTTCCTAGACAAAGGCATTCCTAGACATCAATTGAGGCCTCAGACGCGATGCCTCTATTCGCTCGCAAGCGCGCGAGCTCGCAGCCGGTCGGTCCCGTGCAACACACATGTATCTTTGTAACAAGCACTCACAACAAGTCTAGCCGCTGCCCCGTGGGCCCCCTCCGAGTTCGTCGTCGGCCGCTATAGCAGCGAGCGCCGCCTTTCTTAACAAGTCTCCGTCGGCCGCCTCGCTGTCCTCTGCCGCCGCCGCTCAAGCCCTTCGATCCCTGACTTCGTCGCCGGAACCTGTGGGATCCATCCAGACCAAGCGCATGGTCCGCAGAGGCTCCCAGTCGTCGGTAGCGAGTGGGGCTGTCATGGGCGGAAACCCTAGANACAGCATGGTCAGAACGACTAGTAACTCGTCCATGACCGACCGAACTTTCCGATCGCCCTCGCCTGGAGGCAGGCAAAGAGCCGTGTCGCCTGCACCCGATGCGCCTCCAGTCCCTGCCATTCCCAAGAACGTCATGAAGTCACAGCGAAGGGCAGCCAGTCTTGACGTGCCCAATCGTATCAGCGTGCCCCAGAGCCCCAGTACACCCAGGAGCGCCAAGCGCAACACCAGTGTCGACAGAGCAGGCAGGACGCTCAACTTGCCTACAATGCCCGAGTTGAAAAGAGAAGACAGCTCCGGTGTAAACTTCTCACGGCCCATGAGCCCCAGTCGCGCCGTCTCTCCTCCGCCACGTCCAAATTCGAGCGTCGGCTGGTTCACCTCGCCCAATGTCAGCAACGGAACTCCTCGTGCAAATCCCTCGCCTTCGCCCGCCAGACCCCAATCCGCTCTTGGACTTTCTTCGCCAGCAGCCAGAAAAATTCAACAAGACGTGCAGAACGCTGCCAATGCGCCCGTCAAGAAGAACAAGAAGACCGTCACCGAAGGCGCGCGTCTTGCTAACGGTACTATGAATACAGCCCCTACCGGTTCTGCTGTGCGTAGCGCACCACAACAACCTGTGCAGACAAAAGCCGCGCTATCCCAGCCTACCCCAACAGAGACGACGCCCAAAAAGAAGAAGAGAACAACAGTCGTGCCTCCCGTAGATACCCAGGCCTCTAGAGNNGCTCGTCGCTCGCGCCCGTCAATCCTTCTCCCAGCACAGATGCCTCCAACAGCCCAAGCTCCCCTCGTCCTACAAGCACTCTGCACAAACAACCATCGATGGTTCGCGAAGATCCGGAAGCTGAAGCCACTGCTGAGGTTCAGTCAAAGCCCAAGCCAAAGTCTACTCCGATCAAGACTCCGGTNNCAAACACAATCTCCTGAGATCGCTTCGAGACACTGACCCGGGGACTCTGCCGGGGNNACTATCACCACATCGGAAGGAGCGGTCAAGGCTTACGTTGCGCCTGGAGGCACACGTCCAAGAGCCGCCAGTCTAGATGTGCCTAGAGGCTACGGTCAGCGCGCTGGCTCCGCTAGCCCTTCGCGCAATGTACATGCGCATTTCGTCGAGGGCTCGTCACTAGTCACCCCCATGAGTATCAGACATCAGCCTCCTCCTCGATCTGTCTCGCCAATGAAGTCGGCTCTTAGACAGTCTCCTGCTTCATCCGTCAGGAATATATCTCCCAACATTGCCGCCAATGGTAGAGCAAAAGCTCCTCCTAGCGAAACATCCGACACTACCTCTTTGGCTTCCCAGGACGGTGTCAAGCCCGCCAAAGCAAAGAAGAGCGTTCGCATCAGCGAAGATGGCAATGCTGCAGTCTCACCCGCTATCGATCCCAACGCACGAAGAGAGCTTTCAGGATCATGGGCGACCGACGACATCAACGAAATCATGAAGCCACGATCAGCGCTCCCATCTTTCAGCAGCGTCAGGGGTCGCAAGCTTGAGCAGGCCGAGAAGCCTGAAAAGGTCACCGAGACCGTATCGTCTAGCATGACCAACAGTGCAAGCACTTTACCAGATCATCGCGAAGCTTCAAACGACCAGCTGGTGGGCGCCGTTCTTGCTCAGCACTACGCCCAGAAAGATCGCATGTTTGATGACCAGACGACTCACATCACAAACGAGCCCCTTCCTCCGCAAGTAACTAGCAAGGAAACGTCAGCCGACATGTCGGACTCAGCCTATTCTGAGGACGAGACGGAACCGCATTCCCAGCCATCTTCTCAGTCTGAGAACATGATTACCAAGGATGAGACAGTATTGTCTACCTATGAGTCCAAGACCTCGGAACACAGTACAGAGGCCCCTGAAGNNAAAAACCCTATCGAGACTGCTGTGCCATCCCTTGCTCTGCAGCCCCCCACACCTGGCGCTGAAGAAGAGACTGAATCTCCGCTTGAAGCTGCAGCTGTGCAGGCTGGTCAGAGACCCACGCTCAAGCAGCGCAATAGTATGCCTGGATCTTGGGATGGTGAAGATATGGAAGAGCACAATAAGCCTGCCTCCCTCTCGAGGCAAGCTATCCGTGATGAAGCTCTCTTGTCCGAGAATGACTCAAGCGATGACGAGGCAGCGGTCCTCCAACCCGCTCAAACTACGATTGATGAACACTCGCCAGTGCTGCAACCCATCTATGAATCGGATTCTGATCTGAGTGACGATTTCGCAGATGCTGAAGAAGACTTCCACCATGGTGGTTTCGCTTCTCTCAATGCCATTGTCGAGAGCCCTGTGGTCAAGCCTGCAGCCGTTATCCCTAGCCCTCCAATCAGCCCACAAGCTGCACTTCCACCTTCGAGAGCTATCATGTCAGATTCATCTGTACTAACAGACGAGCAGCTCATGACGACAGACAATACTGACTGGAACTCTGCAACTGCGTACTGGAGCAGTTTGAGCAGGACGAAGAAGTTGGAGCTCGAAGCTGAAGCCGAGGCCGCGATCGCCCCCCCTGTCGTCGAGTCTGCGCCCAAACCTAAAAAGAAGAGGCAGCCTGTCGATCAGTTGGACATAACAAATCCCACTACCTTCGCACCGGCCCTGGTCGCAACCAGAGATGATCCGTTTGAGACTGACGAGCAGCAAGAGTCGCGTGCAGCTGCCATGCGCAAGTCGATGCGCACATCTGGCGAGTCAGAGCGTACTTCGAGCGAAACCCAGATGCGCAAGTCTATGCGAGGTCCTCCTGCGCCTGCTGCTCCTTCGAACGAGACACATATGCGTACGTCTATGCGTGCCGGTGGATCAATGCGCTCCGAGGGTTCTATGAGAACCTCGATGCGCGGAGATTCTGGCGGTAAGCCTGCCTCTAAANAAGTGTCGGCTCCCGTCGCGACTAGCATTCCTGGAGCAGGTTCGGCCGCTGCAGCAGCAGCCAAGTCGCAGCCTGCACAAAAGCCCACCAAGCCAGTTGTCGCTCCTCTCCCAGCTTACGATTCAGACTCCGAATCCAGCTTCAAGAAGAACAAGCGTCGTGGGTCGGTTTCGACTATAGATTCGGTTGGCAAGTACACTATGAAGCGCTCAATGCGCTCTGGTTCCGTAGATGCTGGCCCTCCACCAGCTGAACGTGGACGAGCAATCTCGCCGCCAGCTTCACCCGCAGCCAAAAACGGAAGTGGCAGATTCAGCCTGCGCTCTCTCTCCCCAACGGGCTCCTTCATGGGCCGCAATCAGGGCGAGAAGATCAGGCAGTCCTTGCGTGGGGCACCTGCAGATGATGCGCCCACGATGCGTGGCAAGAACAGCAGAGCTTCGCGTGATGCAAAGGCTCAATCTGGCTTCAGCATGTCTGGCTTTGGCAAAGGAAAGGCAGCACCTGCACCCACGCCAAAGGCAAAGTCCGGGGGCTTCAGATCTCGTTTCGCGGACAGTGATGATGAAGATGATGCTCCTCGAGGCGCATATCGCAGCCGTTTCGCTGACTCTGACGATGAAGATTCTCCTATCGGTCCTCCCAAGCATATGCCTGCCAATCTCGCACCAGTCCGCGGTATTCCCAAGCGTGGAGGCCAAGACTCTGATTCAACCGATCTCTCTGACTCTGAAGATGGGGGTCGCAACGGAAAGAAGAAGACTGCTGGAAGAGCCAGCAACAAGCCCGCTGTACCCAGTCAATCAGACATAGATGCAGCAATGGAGGCTGCCAGACGTAACGTCGCTGCCATGAATGGAGGCCGCGAACCTGGTGTTCCTCAAGCACCTCCAGTGCCAGCAAGCAACACCACAGTGCCAGAAACACCCATGACACCTACCAGACGCAAGGGTTTCCTCGGCAGCGTACTCCGCAGAAACAGCTCATCCATTGTGCCACAGTCACCGGTCGATTCACAACACCCGCGCAGCCCCACTACAATGCGCAGTCCCAAACAGCCCAAGCTGCAGAGGCGCACGACACCGCAGAACTGGCCTCTAGCTGCCGCACCCGCAAATGGCGACGCTAGTAATGAATCCAGACCAACGACCAGCGACGGCGTGCCAGCCATGAAGAAGAGCATGCGACCAGACCTCAACAGACGCAGCATGAGCGGCAACGACCTCAACAACATGGCCAACGGAGGCGCCATGCAAAGCGCCAGCTCCAAGAAGAAGAAGTTCTCGGGCTTGAGGAAGCTATTCGGTCTGCACGACTAAAGTCTGGTCTACACCACAATCACGGACAGGGAGAAACAGAACAGTCGCAAGATCGGGATGTGTTTGGAAATTGGCACAAGAAGGGAAAAAGGCAATTCTCGTTAATGTATAATCCTGGTCTTTTTTTGCCACTTATCTTTCTTTTGTTATGCCGAGGTCAGGTTATTAGAAATGAGCAAGAGATTGAGCTTCAGGATCTTTTTGAGGCTCTTCTTGTTCATGGCTTCTGGAGGGGACAGAATGATACCATTGTTTTTGTTTTGTTTCTTTGCTTGTCGTTTGTTTTTTGTATAATGTATGAATTCCTGCTATCGTCGCTGAATCTCTGCCTATTTCTTTTTGTGTCCTCTATCTTCTGCAATGTAAGGTGATATCGACTCGCGCGGTATTGGACGTGGTTGCTTGTGCTAGGCATCATCTTTCCGTCCAACATGCATTGTCTGCCTCAGATCTACAGCGACCACCTCAGTATCTCATAGACCACCTGAGACCACTTCAATAAGGCTAAGTGCGTAGACAGATTCTCGTATCACATTGTTGCTGTCGAAATATCGTTATTGACGACTGGAAATTAGTGGTGGGGAGGACAACCCTGACTTCTTGATATAGATGACGTAGGCGATCGAGCGCGATAGAGTGGCAGGAACAGGCGCCAGGATTAAGCGATCCGCGGCTCGCGGTCGCAAAGGAGGCAGGTCCTTGTTCACCGACATCTTTCCTATCTGTTTATCGCTCTTCCTAGGCTTCGAGTCGCGACTCCCATACACGCTCGAGGACTCTGTTTGGTCTTTTGCCAGAGAGAAGAGTCGAATCGGTCTTCCTCGTCTTTTGCAGCAAACATGACGCGCCGCATGGTCTACGGTATAGGGCTCTGGGTCTTTTTGGCTGGTACGTCTCCCCCTTGCTCGCTTCTTGCACCTTCTTGATCAAACACTAACGCATGCTCCTCACCACAGNCCGTCGCCCTGACCTTCACCTCCATGGCCCTTCCCGATTGGATCTCGTACACCAGTCCTGTCTCCACCTCGCCCAACCCCGCTCACCCAACTACACCCATCCACGTCTCCTATGGCCTACATCGTCGCTGCTCTTCTCTTACCTCTGGCTGTACACCTTTCCCGGCACCCGAAGACTGCCATGGCGAAGACAGATATTTCTGCTCCATGTGGAGAAGTGTAGGCTTCCTGATGAACTTTTCCGTCGTCCTGGAGTTGGCGACTTTTGTCGCTTTTGCAGTTGTGTTGCTCGGAGGCAGAAGCAACAGAGACAACGGGTGGAAGATGTGTGTGGGTTTACTGGCGGTTGTGGTGTGTGTCCAGGTTGCTGCTATGGGGATTGTGGTAAGTCCATCTTTTGCGCACAAAAAGAAAGATGGAAGGAGGAAAATGCTAATCAAAGTTTGTGTAAAAACAGNNGCTTTCCTATTCGACCACGACAATCGCTTTTTCGTGGGTTGGAAATTGGATAGGAGTTGGATTCTTTGCACGGTTTCTTGGATTGTGCTGTTGATGGATGTTATTGGCATCACAGTGGCTGCTAAGATGTTGCCTGCTGAGGACGACTATGAACCCATCCCTGATAGAAGATGAGGGAATGGGACAAGGAGAGACGCAGCATTACTCCGGCCTCTTTTTCACGAAAACACGAGACGACATACAATGGTATACATAAATTGATTTCCGCTTTCTCATTTCTAGCGTTTCGTTTTTTTTTTGCTTCCATTACAGCGTATTGATATCTCTAGTCCACCATCATCTTTCCATCCCTTTTCTCTTGTCCCTTTTTCACAAATCTCCAGTCAAAAACTGCGCCCTACCCAACCCAAAACTCCAATCTTCCTTGCTGTTTGCACAACAACTGACCACCAAATCAGTCTTTGGAACCCCACATTCATTTTCTAGTCTTTCTGCCAGGGAGGCATAGATGTCTTGTTTTTGATCTGCGGTTCGTCCTTGTTGGAATATTTGGATCAGGATCAATTTTTCGGTGCGCGGGATGGAGAGACCGGTGTCTTCGAAGATAAGCTCGTAGGGTTCGTGTTGGGTTATAACNCTATGGGGCGTTAGTGGTAAGAAGGAGGGAGGAGGAAGAAGATGATGCTTTACTTGATATCTATCTCTAGGCGGTGCAGCGAATTTGTCGAGCATTATTTCTTGGACGACATCGGCTAGTTTNTTGATCTCCTCTGGCGAGCGGACGTTTTTTATCATGTCGATTTTGACGAGAGGCATGGCGGCGTCACAGTAGGTAGGGATGTCAATGTAGGGTTGTAGAGAGAAGGATTGCGATTAGATTGGAAGTTCTAGCTATAGGGTCTCGGGCACGGTATCTATGATTATATACTTGGAGGTTACACTTTTTACGATGATTATCCGCAGTATCCGCACCGTGATGGTGGATGATGTGGATAGTTGGGTGCTTCGTCATGGGCTGGTGAGCGGTGTCGGGGACCGTTGTCGGGATAGCTAGGTACCGAGGTAGGGTCTCGCGATAAGAGCTCTTGGTCATGGATGGTCGGTCGATATCTTGCTTTACAATAATAGCGCATCAAGTTGCTTGATTGGGACTACGTGTTTGGTGACTGTTTCCTTGCATACTGACCTTCCTGGTCCTCCTTCATCTTGAATTGACTGTATTGCTCCCCGACCTCAATTCCATAAGCTCTGTTTTCCTTTCCACCTCTTGCAATTCACATCAACCATGTTCCTCATCTATTTACTTCCTATCTTGTTTACCATCTACTTTTTCTATACACATCTCACATCGCCCCTCTCCAAACCCCCTGGCCCATTCTATACCAAACTCACGCCTATCTACCTTATCTACAAAGAGTTTACCGGTCAACGGAGACTCTACATCGACTCTCTGCACTCTACTTATGGCCCCGTCATCCGTATTTCCCCCACCGAATGCAGTTTCGCCAGCTTTGAAGCCATGAAGGAGATCTATACCTCTGGCGGTAGTGGCTACGACAGAACAGAGTTCTACGAACTGTTCATGCAGTTTGGAACCAAGACTTTGTTTTCCATGCCGCCGAGAGGGGAGCATAGTCAGAGAAAGAGGATTCTTGCGGACAGATATGCGAATAGCAATATATTGAGACCAGAGACGGTGGAGGCCTTGACCAAGAGAGCGAGTAGGTTTTTGGAGAATTGTTTACAGGAGGCAGGGGCTGATGCCGACGTTTATGTGAGTTTTGTCCGAGGAAATTGGTGTAGAAATGGAGACTTTGCTGATGAGGTGTCAGNNGTGCATTTGCATTGTTTTGCGCTGGATGGAGCGTCTCAGCATTTGTTTGCTCCCTATGGCACAAACTCGCTCGAGGACCCCGAAGATTTCAAGATTATGCAGGAAATGTCTTATGCGGATAGTCTGCGAGGTTTGTTCTTTGTCAAGTCTGCCTTGAAACACAGTTGCTGATGTGAGTCAANNGCACCTTATCTGGAGTACTATGCACCGAAGCTAGCAGAGCTATTCGACAGACTCAACTCAAAACGCTCGCGATCAGTACCTTTTGCCAACGAATTCGTCCTCGAAGCAGTGAGCAAGCCTAATCCAGCATCGTACTCTCTACTCTCAAAACTGCATTCCAAAGCGTCGGAACTGGAGGATCTTTCTGCCGCTGCAGAATGTATGGATCACTTGGCTGCCGGTATCGATACCACTGGCGACGGTCTCTGTTTCCTCATGCACGAACTCTCTCTGCCTGAAAACACACATATCCAGGAGCGCTTACGGGAAGAAATAAACAGCAGCAACGACAAGAGTTTTGATCAATTGCCCTATCTAGATGCGGTGGTCAAGGAAGGACTCAGAGTCTTTCCACCCATCCCTATGAGCTTTCCGAGGTATGCACCTGACGCCGGCGCAGTCTTGGATGGCTACTATATTCCTGGCCACACCATTGTTTCCTGTCAACCATTCACGCTACACAAGGATCCTCTTGTTTTCCCTTCGCCTGAGAGATTCGATCCGCAGCGATGGCTTGAGGACAAAGGAGAATTGGAGCGGAACCGCATGTTCTTTGCCTTCTCACAGGGCGCAAGAGGGTGTATTGGCAAGCATTTGGCTTTGGCTGAGATGAAGATACTATTGCGAGAGGTATATGGAAGCTATAGGACGGTACTGAGCAAGGAGAAGGCGGATATGAGGTTTGATGATCAAGTCATCTCTTCACGACCCAAGGGACAGAAATGTCGATTGCGATTTGAGAAGGTTGTTTAGCATGATTTGCAATTTAATGAATTCAAGTCTTTAGGCTTTTTCGAGAGCATAGACTGCATATGTCACACCATCGACTTTGACATCAGTATCCTGTCTCCAACCCTTTGGACTAAACACCTCTTCTCCCAACTCCCTGATCGAAGGCAACTTTTCACCAACAGCATACCTCTGTACCCACTCTCCCTTTACCTTTTCCTCCCTCAACACCGAAAACTGACCATCTTGCTTCTTACTCAACACCTGAAACCAGTCTCCAACTTTAGCTACGAATGTAACCCCCTTGCCGTCCTTGCTTCTCAATATCCAAGCCGGTTCATCTGAAGAGCCAATATCCAGATTACCCCAAACTTCCTCGTATGCTTGAATCTCATCATTGTTGTCTGGATTTGGCATGCTACCCTTCTCTAGCGCATCGCCATTGGGCAAATCTTCGAATTCGCCAATGTCATCGTGGGCCTCGGTGTTTTGGGAGCAGATTTCTTTGGTCCATTGGCATTTTACTGGTACGAAATTAGCACTTTTGATTATTCTCTGCGGTCGTAGAGGTCGGGGTCTGTGGGGTGGGCACTTACGTGGTGATGAAGACAGGATCGTGCGTTTACCGGCCATTGCCCAGTCGATGTCTCCAGTAGCCTTGAGTATACGGAGGTCGACGAAAAAGTCGCCGACATCGAGAACGAGGGTGGATGTTGGTTCTGAGGGTTCGCCAGGCACCCAGCGAAGGGACTTGCGATAGGAGAGTTGGACGACCATGGTGATTGTAGTTGAGCAAGGCGAGTGCGAGATTTGAGGTGCTCACGTACTCGAGTATTACTTACGAGAAGGCAGTAGAGACAGGCTTATAAGGAAAGCCAGATACAGTGAAACTCTTATAGATGCCTCTTTGAGATCAAAGATAGAGACACGTCTATGGCCATGACGCGATATCAAGGGTACAGATGGGGTTCGTGGAGAAGACGTGGTGCGAGTCATTGTCATGTCTTGCCCCGCTCCCTTCCGATGTCGCCAAGAATCTCCTCAACCTTCCTTTTCGAGTTGCTGATATCGGCGACATTCACACAAGTCTCTTCGTGTTCGATTCATTGCAAGCAGAACGTGCAAGACCACAGATCTGACAGCATACATTGACAAACGCAATTATCAGAATGCGGCGCAGGCCACCTTGAACCCATCAAGACCCCTTACAGCGAACCCAGCATGGCCGATCAAGACCCCAAAGCTTTGGCTTCTGCAACCACACCTTCTGTTTCCGTCACAGCTCCCATTACCCGTGCAGCTCGCAACAAACGCTCTTGGAGCGGATGCGCGAGATGCAAGAAACGGAGACAGAAGTGTGATGAGCAAAGACCTGGTTGTGGGAGATGTGCAGCCGCTAATGTTGATTGTGTTTATGAGGTTAAGCTTCGATGGGGTGGGAGAGCGTTTAATCAGTCTAGGTTTGGAGCGTGTATTTCCGATGCTGGTGCGAGCAAGGATAAGGTCAAGAAACTAGGTAGGTGATTTTGATTTACGAATATTGTGTTTTGGTGGCTGACTTTATNNGTAGGAAGCGTCGATAACGGATTCATCTATACCGTCAATAGCTTTCAGGGGCAGCCTCAGCCGCCGAAGGGGACTGTAACTCCTGCTCCTGTAATAGAGGCGCCATCACCGCTCGAGCAATCATCAGAAGATGCGACTTTCCCAGACTTGTTTTTGGATGTGGACGACTCACTAGCCTTGATATCAACTTCAACAGCAGGGGGATTGATACTAGACAATTATGACATCGATTTCTTTCCCTTGTTTGCACCAGTGGACCCATTCATCAACCTCGGAACCATGGATCGGTCACTCCTCGATCACTTCATCAATGGGACTTCCCATGTCATCTCATGTCACTCCAAAGTCCAGGAAGACGTATGTCGAGTCATCGTTCCTGCTGCGCTACAAAGCCCAACTCTTTTCTATGCCACAACTGCTCTCTCGGCAATACACCACAAATCGCGGCTTGGATTCGGCAGTGAAACATTAAGAACAGATCCATTGATCTCCCGGCTCTTGAGCAACAGCTTATTCGGACTCCAGAGTGACCTGCTGGAAAAGGATGTCAACAAAAGTAGTGTGCTGCTGGCAACCATCCGAACACTCTTCCTCTGCGAAGTCCACGCCGGCGGTGATCGCCCCGGAACCTGGCGCGCGCACTTCGAAGGCGCGAAAGCACTCATGCTCGATATCGAGTCTTGGGCTGGGTACTCCTCCAAGCAACGAGACAGCACCAGATACTTTCTCAAGCGCTGGTACAACATGACCGAAAGCTTTGTAGCACTCACCACCGATGGTCTTGCTTCTGGCCAACTCGCCAGGTTCGGCCCTCGTACCCTCGACGGCGATGAAGAGGAGAAAGTTTATCTGGACGAATATGCAGGCTTTGCTACTGATCTCACACCAATCTTTCGCGAAATTGGCGCGGCGGCTTGGGAACGCAGAAATCATGCCCGAGCCACCATTCTCGAAGAAGGCGATTTAGATGAAGAAGCAGCTTCTTTGGCAACCTGCATCTGGACCCGTCTGGACGAGCAAAAATCCAAACCTCCGAAGTTTAGACCTGGGGTCGAGGAACAGCTATCACTACGCCAGAAAGAGGATTTTTTGTCATGTAACCAGATATGGCATCACATGGCGCTGATATACATATATCGCCGCATATCCTCTCACCCAGCCAATTCGCCGCTAGTGCAAAGCTCTGTCGAGACTATTCTTGGTTGTATAGAGAGTCTTACTGCCACAGCAGGACTCACACCTTTGGTGGTCATGACGACACCATTGTTTGCTGCTGGTTGTGAAGCTCAAGGAGAAGATCGCGATCGCGTGAGGACTCTACTCAGCAACATGTTTAATCTGCTGCATATCCCCAATATTCACCGTTCGTTGGAAGTGCTGGAGAGCTTTTGGGCGAGCACGGAANAGGGGGAAACGCAGGATTGGGACAGTTTTATGCATGATCAGCATTGGGATTTTTTGCCTTATTGAAGGTATGCGTACGTGCTTATACTGAAGGTTCAAGGCCTCCATCTTTGGCAGCAGATATACATGTCGAGTCTCCGAAAGGTGCTTGAAACCTCTCCGACTTTAAAGACATTAGAAGAGATTCTCACTCCGTTGTAAATTCGCAATTCGTTCCGGAGATTGCACTATTTCCCCATATGTCGATTCGTCTTCGACTCACGATCCTGAGTCTGTATGCTGTAGTGTTCCTGTTAGATGGATATCGCCATTGGCACACTTGGACTGTAGTCATGGGAGGGGTGACCCTGTCGTTGGAGCCCGAGCCTCAGAGCTTTGGCTTACGTCATAGGCTATCTCGTGCGCAATGTGTTATTGGCCTTTGTTCAACCACAAAGCAGGTGTAACAGGAAGCAGAGGTGGCTAAAAGTAATATTCAGGAGATGTATGCAAGTAGAAATAAGGGTAAAAGTAAAAAAAAAAAAGGAGGCTTGAACAGGGTCTGATGGACCCTTTCGACCAAAGGGCGGGATGAGCCGGAGGGGAAGCTGCCAACAGTGGAGGTAGGTACCTTTGGGCAGGAACATCACGCCGTGGATAAACAACACAAGACACTTCTATCGCTACCACAGATCCATATCACAGGGCAGAGCAGTAGGGCCACAGCTCGCATGCCGAATTGAGCAAACACCACGAGGCATCTGGGCCATCGATTGTCCGTTCCTAACTGGTCCACACCCACTGGTCCACTCTCTTTCACTCATCTGACTGGCTATCAACAACATCATGTGGAACAGCCTGTCCAACTTTGCACAAAAGGCGCAGGTCTTTGTCGACCAGAACCTGCAGACGGCCGTAACCAACCTCGCACCCTCTGACAACCGCTCGTCCAAGGCCGCCCTATTCCGTCACCAGTTCCGTCTGCCAGACTCGCAGAGCCCGCTGTACGAGATCACGGCCGAGTTGACGTTACCACCCAAGACGTCCTCGTCGTCAAAGAGCCCCACCGACACCCCACGCAAGAGCCATGAGCAGCGCAACAATTGGGACCGCGAGCGCGGAAACCACTACGTTGGCCGCTTGCACCTGTCGGAGAAATTCCTGTGTTTCTCTACCCAGAACTCGAGCTTCTCTCCTACTGCAAGCACGTCGTTGTCTACTGCCTTCACGGGCCAGACGAACGGTGCAGGTCCTGCTGGCAATGGCTTCACTCTTCCATTGTGTGCTGTGCGCCGTGTCGAGCGTCTGCACAGTCAGAGCTACATGTTTGCCCTGTCCATCACCACATGGAATGGCTATCCTGCTCCTGACGAGAAAAACACAAAACACACTGGCAAGACGGCTCCGCCAGCACCCAAGCTCACAATCCAGCTGGCTGGCAGTAGAGTACAATGTGAAAAGTTCTGCGACATGCTGAAGAAAGGTCTGCGCGAGGGTATGCGTGAAGTTGATGGCATGCGCAAAGTCGTGGGAGAGTGCTACTCGGAGTTCATGTTGGCTGCTGAGGCCAAGCGTCGCAACGAGAAGGACGCGCCAACCGAAAAGTTGGTTGATGATCAGAATCCTGAAGAACAGTTGAAGCCTCCAGATGCTGGTCTAGGCATGCAATTCCGCTATCCTGGTGACCCCAAGAAACTCAGAGACAAGGGCAAGATGAGGTTGTGGTACGAGTATTTACGAGGTAATGCGCATCTGTACTTGACTAGAACATCGACATCCACTGACAGAATGCAGNAAAACGGCAGAAATGCCACGCTCGTCAGACAGCCGGATCTGCCCCGACTGGTCAGGATTGGTCTCCCCAATCGTCTTCGTGGAGAAGTGTGGGAGCTCACATCTGGATCTTTCTATCTACGAATGCAGCAGCCCAAGCTCTATCAGGATACGCTAGACAAATACGAGGGACAACATTCGCTTGCTATTGACGAGATCGAAAAGGACTTGAATCGCAGTCTGCCCGAATATCCTGGTTTCCAGAGTGAGGAGGGTATCGGCCGCTTGCGTCGTGTTCTTACTGCCTACAGTTGGACTAATCTGGAAGTCGGCTACTGTCAAGCTATGAACATCGTCGTTGCCGCCCTCTTGATCTACCTCTCCGAAACTCAGGCTTTCTATCTCTTGTCCATTCTCTGCGATCGACTTTTACCAGGATACTACTCACAGACTATGTACGGCACTCTTTTGGACCAGCGGGTCTTTGAATCGCTCGTTGAGAGGACATTACCCATTCTTTCCGAGCATCTCGCCAAGTCGGATGTCCAACTGTCTGTCGTTTCATTACCCTGGTTCCTCTCACTATACATCAACTCGATGCCCTTGATGTTCGCCTTCAGAGTCCTTGATGTCTTCTTCCTCGAAGGTCCCAAAGTCTTGTTCCAAATCGGTTTGGCCATTCTCAGAGTCAATGGAGAGGAACTGTTGGACGCTACCGACGACGGCACTTTCATTTCCGTCCTAAAGTCATACTTTGCTCGTCTTGGCGAGTCAGCTCATCCGAAGTCAGAGAATCCCAAGCTGAGAGCGGTAACAAACTTCCAGGCCTTGATGGTTGTTGCTTTCAAGGAGTTCTCTGGCATCACACAACAAAGCATCTCTGACTTGAGAGCCAAGCACAAGGATGCTGTCCTTGACAACATCGAGTCTTTCGCAAAGCGCACCTCTATCAGGAACCTCGGTCCGGAGAGCAAGAAGCTGAGTACGAGTGATCTAGGCTTCTTGTATGATCGCTTCTACGGTGTGCTGTACGAACGTCAACAAAGAATGGAGATGATCCAGCAAGAACAAGAGCGCAGAGCAAAGGCTACCAAAACCAAGGCTGCCGAGATTGTTAGCGGCATTCCCGGCAATGTCGAGATGGGCAGAGTTGGACTTGGACCTAGTCCCACAGAGATGGACTATGACAGTTTCAGAGAATTCTTGGCCGGTCTTGCTAGATGGGCAATCACGGACTCGCCCAGCTCAACAGACAAGCAGGACTCTGAGAAGAATGGTGGCTACTTTGCCAACACTTTCCGCGCTCGCTCTGTCTCTCTATCACCCTGGGGCTCTGGTCCGGAGCCTGCTGAGCACGAGTTTTTGCAACGTCTCTTCAAGTCTTGGGATACTGACAATTCGGATGCTCTCAACTTGCAAAAGGTCGTTGCCGGTTTTGCTCGCATCAAGGGTCCTCGCGATATCATGTCAAACATCAGCTACTTCTTCGATCTCTACGACGATGACAAGGATGGCAAGGTTGACAGAGAAGGCATCCTGCGCATCTCGGAAGCTTTGCTCTTCCTGTCAAGACGTGGTATTGCCGGGTCAGTCACGCCATCCGCATCATCAACCAATTTTGCCGCTCAAGCCGAGATTGGACCTGACGGTATGCCTTTGAGAGGCGCGAATAAGGACGAACAGTTCCTGAGTAGCATATCGGCTTTCATCAGAAGATGCTTTGAATATGCCGATCCAGACCAATCACCGGCGACTACAGAACAGTCTTCTGCTCGAACTACCACGAAAATGGAGAAGGAGTCGGATGATTCGACTTCGACTGCAGCAGACAATCTCAACTCTTTTAGTATTGGTGACGACGAAGACGATGAGGATGCTGAAGAGGATTTGCTACAGCTCAATGACGAGAAGCCGAAACCTGAGATCTCAAAATCAGAAGAAGAGTTAACAACGATTCCATCCATCACCAAAACCCCCGTCACACCCATCACGAATACACCCTTCAACTTTGGCCAAACTACACCAACAACGCCAAACCGAAATGCAGCCGCTAACAAGGCCCTCGACCCCAACCATCCCCTCTTTATCACCCTTCCAACCTTCCGCATGCTCATTCTCGCCGACGAAGCCCTCGAAACCTTCTTCGACTCTGGCTTCCCCAACTCCTTCCATCTCGCTGATGCACCTCTTCCCGCCGGCACCGTCTCTACAGCTAACCTCACCACCTTCAGCAACCTCCCTGCCAAAGTCAACTTGCCCATCCTGAGTCCCGGCGGCCCTGGCGCTGGCGTCATGGCACCAGGAAAGGGTCTTCGCGGCATGCTGGACAACATCGTCACCGATGGTATGCGCGTAGCAGCCGAAGTGCGTCGCAGGATGGATGAAGCACAGAAGGAAATCGACCGTGGAGCTTCCACGCGCGGCACCGAGTCCGATGAGGAAGAGGAAGATGAAGGCGGCAGAGATCTGTTGGAGGGTGCTGAGGTTGATGCAGCGGCGCCGCAAACACCTGCCAAGACCGAGAGTTCTGCTGAGCAGAGTATGGAGAGAGAAATTGAAGCTGCTAAACAGGCGGACAAGGGTAAAGGCAAGGAAAAGGTTGTTGATGATGTGCAAAAGAGTATGGTGTTTGAGCGATAGGGCGCTAGATGGTTATCTATCTTCCAAGAAGAGGAGAAACTTGAGAGCAAAGGGGAGTGGCGGGTCTGAAGAAAAGAGGACTTTGGTATACGTCTAGACACGTTTTTCTCATGGACGGGGTTTGGTATTTACAGTAGGATGGTTAGCATTCTTCGTCTTTTCTCCTGCGGTAGGTAGGCGTCTTTTCCGCTCAGGACAGATTGCTTTCTGACCGACAGTCATTTGATTTGGCCTCTTTTCTGCTTGTTTGCCTCAGCTTCTCGTCTCAACAATGCTTCCATCACAACGATTACAAGCCTTTAATATACATCACAGCAAGGCAACTTTGAACAGAAGACGGACTGATCGTTGTGACTTGATAAAAGAGTGAGCGTAGAAGTTCTTTTAGTGTTACATGCGTGTGGTTCCTCCTCCTGCTCCTTTTTTATTTTGATCTTTGTATGTTTGTCCTTGGGTTTCCTGTTTCGCTTTCAGGGTGTTTCGGGTTGTTGCTTTTTCTTTGCGGTAGGGTCTTGTTTTTCTCTTTCCTCTTGGCTGGGCTGTTTTTTTTTGTTTTGCATGGCATAGGTATGGTTTTAATTCCGTCCTGGTCCATTGGTTCTTGCTGCGGTCGTTGTTGGATTGCTTCTATTATTGCTTGCTCTTTGTTGTAGAGTTTGTTTCTTCTTTTTTTTTCTCCATGCTTGTCTGGTTTCGCTTTTCCTCCTCATATGCTGTTCTTGATTTCATTTCACGCGTTTTGTTCTTGTCGTTTATTAAATCCTGCTCACACCATGCCCCATGTTTGCTCTTATTGTTGGAGTGAGTGTCGTATGGTGCGAGCCGTTACTCTGACTCGAGCATCTCGACGTCTTCATCAGTGGCAGTGGTGGAGGCAGGGATGGTGGTATTGGAGGTGCGAGCTTTGCTGGCTCTGCTGGCTTTGTTGACTTTGCTGGCTTTGTTGGCCGCAGTTCGCGAACGGGTTTGTCTTTGTTCTGGAACCGAGTCGGCGGCTTCACTCATGCCTACCTCCTTGTCCATCCCCTTGCCGTTGCCCTTCTCCTTCTCCTTACCCATGCCCTCATCATTACCATCCTCTCCATCGCTGGAGTGATAATCAGGGTTACTGGCTTTCGTAACATTGTTCTTGCCAACAAAGCCGCCTGGGCCAAGGACTCCGCGCATCATGGCTCTGATGTAGTTTTGACGGGTTTGGCGGGCGGCTTCCCAGTGGGCTTGGGGGTTGGAGTTGTAGAGGGGGAGAGGTGTGGATGAGGAGATTGCTGACATGATGGCGCCGACTTCGGCGTTGGTGTTCGTGGTTTGGGAAGGAGAGGGGACCGAGATGGGTGGGGTAGAGGAGGAGGCAGGGGGAAGTGGTGGGTTGGTGGGAGGGGCAGTAGAATCGACGCGGTGAGAGGATGTCCTGATGTTTGAGGGAGAGGCAGGGTTCATGTTGTTGTTCATGGCTGAGGCAATTCTCAGGGGTATGTCGGTGGTAGCGTTGGTGGTAGAGATCTTTGACTTGGAAGTGGTGGTGGTAGTCGGCTCTGAACGTTGATCGCTTGACTGTGTTTCTTCCATGACAGTCCGAGGTTTGTTGGTTGTGGTGCTCTGATCCAGGGCGTTCTCGCTGTTATTGTCGTTTTTGGACGCGGCTCCGGGCTCAAGTGACCGGCTACCAATGCCGCGAGTCTTACGTAGCTCGTCCATAGAGAAATTGGGGTTGTTAGAGGACGTGGTGCTGTTCATGACCGAAGTTTCGGAGTTGGTGATGTTGTTGGCATGCGAGAGGAAGTTGTTCACATATGCGTTGTATGCCTCTCCATCATCATCGTGTTGGCCGGAGCACTTCAAATCGGTGTTACCAACTTCCTGGCCTTCGTGCAGGGGCTGATTGATGGTGTTGGAGCTTTGCACGATGTCTTCCTCTTCGATGGACACAGCTCTGGGTGCGTCTGCAGCAGCGCTTGGGGTGTTGATTGGGGTCGACGGGCCACTGGTCGACGAAGGTATAGCCTGGGCACCGCCACCCTGAACACACACGCGTCCAAGGCGTACACAGTTGTTGCAGTTTGGCTTACTCTCATCGCACTTGACGTGTCGTTGTCTGCAGGTCAGGCAGCCAGTCGCCGATGTACCCCGGTATGTACGTGTGCGCTTGGAAACGCCTGATGAGGAGTATGAAGACGAAGAGTTGGCCATGTTCGCGTTTACGACGATTCGTGAGAATAGAGATGAGGTGATACGTGAGAAGGAAAGAGAAGGACTTGAAAACGTGAACAGAGACCCTGGTCGTCTCTCGTCAAATGGTCGAGCGAGGTAAATAAATCGGGTTGGTTCGTTTGCTCAACCGTCCACGATGATGTCGTTACGATGAAGCAGCACGCAGGTCGACGGATGTTGTTTCGTCGATATCTTGCAAGTCGAACCTTCGTCCCTAGCGACTGGAGGAGGTCACGATGGCAGCCAGTACCAAACTCACGAATATGAAACGACTAAACACTCCTTCTTTCCAAAGGGGTATGAGGTCTGTTGAGAGAACTCCTCAGGGTGTTCGGACACAGCTCTGCATCTCACCAAGAAGAAGGAGATGATTGACGATAATCGGCATGTTGCTGTCCTCGATCACCAAAGCAAGCAATGCTGATAGCTGTCATGACACATGGGATATTTGAGAAATGGAGGTCATCTACTCCGAGAACGCATTTCCTTTTCTCCCTTCGGTCATATAGCGGATACGAAACCATTCGTGCAGTTATAAAAGTGATAGATCACTGGAGAGTGGCGGATAGCTACGATTGCATCTCTTCCTGTGCTTTGGATCGTAGTCAAACAGGCATGTCCAATGCAGGTGGGTAGTCCAGAGAGCCCGTCAAAAGGAACAGATACGTGTACCTCTCTAACTCATTCCATGAAGAACTCAACCATGATCATCCCTCATTGGAATGGTATCTCGCACCATTTGATGCATGGTCATAACTTGATCAGTAAGCACGTATATGCCTGTCCCGAGATATTCCCATCGATCTCGTTTGAGAGATTCGAGCGTGATCGACGGCATCGTAACGACATTGTCGTCGACGAGTGAAGTGAACGATATCATCTTGTTTCGTTTACTCTCTACGGCCCCCTCCAAATTCACCTGGATATAACGGATGATATTCCCCTGACTTTCACCTCGTACCGCACATATCCACCTTTGCACGCACACCTCCGCGCTCATATCTCCTTTGATTATCGTCTTCCGCGACTTCCATCGACCTTCAATCACCACAGCATAGCATCCACTTCCTTGTTATTCAACGCCCTCGCCAACATGTCTAGAAAGGGCAAGAAGGCGGTTGCCAAAAAGGCTGCCTCGACCCTCGACAAGCAGAGTTCTGTCACCGACAGCTCTAGTACCCCTTCTTCTGAAGTTCTCGGTACACGCAGGCACAAAGGAAGATCTGTCCAAGGATGCTTGACGTGCCGCGATAGACACATTAAGTGCGATGAAGGAAAGCCCGTTTGTCGAACTGTATCAAGGTCAATCGCGAGTGCGTTCAGAGAAATGGCTCACGTTCGTGGTCTACCTCTACAAGCAACACTCCCGCCTCCGCTGGCACTACCAACACCCAAAGTACTGATACTCAGGCTGCCAACACCAACACGAAGTCTCCAGTCGCAGGCGATAACGTCGATCCCAACTTCAATAACTTTTCCTCCTCCATTCACCAACTTCGCTACCCTCAACCCGCTACAAGCATGAAGAGTCTCAACCCTACCAAGAAGCCCAAGGCCAACGACATGGACGAATCCCAAGCCTCCATCCATGAAGCTCCCCAGTCAGTCTCCAACTCCAAGCCTGCCGCATCTGCTATGAGCGCCATCAGTAAGGAAGACCTTGAGGCATCCGCTCCGACCTCCACCAATGGCACCGCCAAGGTTGCCAGCCAGAGCAACGTGCCTACCGGCTCTGCTGTGGTCTCCAAGAACGCCCATGCTCCCATCCCTACACGCACCGCTGCAGTCAACTCCTTGATGCTCGTTGGTGCCCAGAGTACTGCTACCTCCACTGGTCGCAACAACTCTACCACTGGTGCCAACCCTGCTCCTAAGTCTGTTTCCACCCTTTCTCTCGCCAACACCACTACCAATCGCCCTCATACTCGCACCTTCACCCCCCTGCGCCCCATCATCGACTGGGTGCCCCCTCGTCCTGAGATTATCGCTCGCACCCCCTTTTCTGCCGAACAGATCGCTGGGATCAAGGCCGAGAAGGCCGCCAGAGAGCTAGAGAAGAAGGAGGCAGTTGAAAAGAAGAAGGCAGAGGATCAGATTATCGCTGCTGCAGTTGCTGCTCAGAAGGAGAAACAGATCGAGGAGAGAGCTAAGCAGTTGAGAGATCAGGATTGAGCTTGCTGCTTGACCAAGACCCAAGTGAGACGAATTATTGGGCAGAGAAAGAGCCAAGCGGAGGATGAACAGCATTGGAAGATCTTTGGAGCAGAGGGAAAGAACAACTCGCAAGCACAAGTCAAGGGGACAAGAGAGGCAGGATCCAGAGAGAAGGATAAATGATGCCTAGAGAACAAGCCTGGAACTGTAGAATAAAAGTCTTCGCTCTTTTTTACAATGAACCATACAACTACTTCCACCTACCTTTCAAGCGCGAAAGACACTCATACGTGAGCATATGTATGATGTCTCTTCTAGCAGAACAGTCTACATGATGGAATCGCCGTCCATACAGCTCTTGGATTGATCTAGTAACGATGTTGTGTTTGAGCCTCTCTGATTCTTCATATCATCGTAAAGTATACATCAATCAGGATAGCACGACTAGCAATGGTTAGTTAGCCACAACACTAGGTCGTCCTCCTCATCGGGATCTAGATCGTAGACATTCTCTGTGTCCTGCACTATATCAAGAAAGTCGGCTATATCGATCTGATCAAGCAACAGACCATCACCTACAGCCGCAGATGATGGATCGAGTTCGAAGCCAGACGCTGGAAGACTTTGCAACGGTTGAT